AAGCCCCGTTGTTTCTGGCCAAACCACCAACGTCAAACCTGAGGCTGAACGAACCGGAGTTTGGGTTCACAAGGCTTGCCACAGAAAGCTGGGTCGCCTAAACAGAGCTCGTGGCCTGTCTCTCACTGCCATCATCTTGCTCCTACGCAACCTCATGTGTACACATGCAGAGACGAATGGATAGATCCGGGTACGGAAAGAGATGCGCCAATATAGCCTGGCGATATGTGCATTTGTATATCATATATATATATATGATATACACATATTTCCCTACCATGTATGTATTTGTGTTCATGTATGTATGTCTGTATGCTTTCTTGCTTCTTGTTTTAATTGACTATGTTTTTTGTTTTCTCTCTCTCTCTCTCTGCATCCTCTCACCTACATGCACATACACATAATCGTCAAAAGTGGCTCGTTTTTGCATGCCTTGCTTGCCCCACGTGAGCGCGAGGCTGCGCGGTGCCAACGCAGCTCTCGTGGGCGCGAACGAGCGGAGCTACGGCGCGGGGCTCGCGGCCCTCTCCAGCGCCGGGCGCTGGGAGGATGGGTGTAGGGTTTATAGGGTTTAGGGTTTAGGGTTTAGGGTTCAGGGCTTAGGGTTTAGGGTTTCAACCCTGGGGTGGCCTGGAAGGTCACCTGATTTGCTTGGATTCTCCTGGGCTAGCTCGACGATGAGCATTGTGCGCGTCGGTATTGATGGTCGTTTGAATGATTCTTGCGCTCGCATTCGGAATTCGGAACCCGATGCCCAAATCAGAGCGGGGCGAGCCCACGTTTACACCACCACCTGCGCTCCAAACCATGGGTTCTAGTTTCAGGGCGGCTAAAATCTCTACCCCATGTCAAAAAGCTACACGAACCCTAAACCCTATAAACCCTAAACCCTAATCCCTAAATACTATCAACTCCAAGTGAATGTAGCATTCTGCTCCATGAACACTCTACGGAGTGTTGTGGCCCATGTCCCTTTGTAAGGATGGCGTAGAGTTTCATGTGGTTTATGATAGCTCCTAAAGTGCTTGCAGCGGCCGCCAGCCCGCCCCCCGCCCCCCCCCCCTCCCCCTAGGCTGAACCCCTAAAAGATAGACCCCCTTTTGTCCCTTTGGCTAGCAATGGTTGCTGGCTTCAAAGGCACAGTTGCTTCAGCATCAACTTATCCGGACATTTGCCATGTGGAGTGGCTTTTCAGTTAGCTGGGCGGGAGGCGACAAAAAGACCCTGTCAGCCTCGAGGACGCCCTGCACCTTTTCGGGTGCGCGCCGGCCGCGCGCCTCTTGCAGAACGCCTTCCTCCAGTCCGGCGCCGTTGCGGCCTTGGCGCCTGGCCCTGGACTTTCAGCCCGAACCACCGCCAAGCTCCTAAACCTAAGGCACTCAGGGGCTTAGGGGTTCTTCGTTGGGTGGGCTTTAGTTTTAGTGTTCTTGGGGCCTGGATGCCACTGGATGCAAAAAGTGTTCTTGAGACAAGGGGGCAGGGATTAGGCTTTAGTACTGCAGGGCTTACACTCGAACACGAGGGTGTAGAGGGTGTAGCGTTTGGGATGCACGGCCCTTCAAATTCCCCCAAAGGCCGGACTCCGAATCTCAAGTAGCCGAATTGCAGAACAACCTTCCATCTTCCGCCTTGTAGTATACAACCTGAGCACGTCCCAAACCACATACATGAGAACCCTGAACCCAAATCATAGAAGCTATACAGTAGAACAAAACTCTAAACCCCAACTAGTGCCCTCTTGGCACTTCGAAGCCCGCCCGAAACCTGCTGAGCTTTCTCTTCCTCGCGCCCTAAGCCCTCGGAGGGCCTCGCGGCGTTCGGCTGGGCCTGGGCACTGGCCCTCATGATCCAGGTGGCAGGCCCTTGAGAAGCAGGGGGGGGCCCATCTCAGAATCCGTAAAGAAGGGCCGCTGCTCCCTCTAGGAGATGTTTTGGGTTCAGAATTGGGCACCCCTCCTTTTCCCAAAGAGAACCCAACCATCCTTGTAAGTAATCAATAGGAAGCGGGCTCCTCAGACTGAGTGAGCCGTCTGAAACAGGGGGGGGCTTCTGTGTGTTTTGGGATGACTCTTGTAATAGAGAGCAAGCAATGCCTCCAACACCGGCTGTCACCTCTGTCTTTCAATGTTGCAGGCGACGGGGCTCCAACCAATACCGTGGCCAGCAACGCCGTCCTCAGCGTTTGTGTACAACAGTGGCCCCTGTCACTGTCCCTTCTGTCCCTGAGCTGATCTGGGGCAAAAATGGGAAGGGACAAAAGAATCCCCGAAAAAGCCACCCCGTTGGCGGCTTGCAGCTACAGGCCAAGGAGCGCTGCCAGTACTGTTTTTTTTTCAATTGCTCTGCAGCCCCTGACATGGAAGTTTCCTTGATCTCTGCAGCCCTACAGTATGTGGGCATATGTGGGGGCATACGTAACTCTGGCCCTCGAATAAAGGCTTTGCAGCACATGGGCATGGCCCTCCTCTCTAGACTCCTCGGGTTCGCGGCATGAACGTCCAACTGCCAGGTTAGGCCTGCCCGAGTCCAAGTACAGCTCGCACTTCTTTTGCTTTTCAGGCTGAAGTTGTTCGCGTGGGTCTGTTGCCGCATGCTGCGTTGCCACTCTTGGTCACAATGGCTTAAGTCACTATGTAAAGACAACATCGTGTGGCTGAGCGGCTGAGGCTCTGGGCACGCCGGCTAAGATTGCAAGCCGACTCGTTCACGGCGAACTCGGTACTGGCCGCATTGGATGCCGGCAACCAGTGGCAGCGGAGCCTTCTGGCCGTCGACGGCATGTCGCAAAGCAGCATCCCCTTTCAACAGGCGGGCGAGCCTGGTCGCCATGTTCCGAAACCTCCCAGAGGCCCCAAATCCCCCCCCCCCCCCTCCCCCCCTTTCGCGGCATGAAAGGTGTTGAGTCGGATGCCCGAAATGGCACACCTCAACCTTTTTTGTCGTCTCTCAGCACCCAAGTAACATCTCTTGTTAAAACTTTTTGTTAAAACTTTTGCCCGAACCCACCCCCACACTCTAAATCCCTATCCCTCGAAGTTCAAAACATCCCCAAAGCCCTCCCTGAACCGTAAGCCCTAACCCTAAATTCTAATTCCCTTCGGGGATCATCCGAAAAAGTTGGAATGATGCAGAGAAGATCAGCATGGCCTCTGCACAAGGATGACGTGCACAAATCGAGAAGTGTACCAAGGGTTGCAAAGAAAAAAGAAAGAACCCTAAAACCCTAAACCCTAAACCCTAAACCCTAAACCCTAAACCCTAAACCCTAAACCCTAAACCCTAAACCCTAAACCCTAAACCCTAAACCCTAAACCCTAAACCCTAAAACCCAAGCCCCTTGGAGGTGACTTTCAACTCGGCCATCGCCGCCTGCGGTGCAGCCTCCTGGGCCTTCGCCGCAGGGCTCCTCAGTGCGGGCATCCAGGCAATTCGGATTTGGGTGGAAAGAGACAGAGAGAGGCATAGAGAGAGAGAGTGAGAGGGAGAGGGAGAAGGAGGAGAGAGAGAGAGAGAGAAGAATCACAATTGGACATTTATAAGTTCATATGAAATGAACCGACCGACCTCTAGACCCTCTAGACCCTTGAGTCTGCGAGCCTTGAAGTGCAGGCCAGCACAATCACCTACAGCGCCTGTATCAGCGCATGCGAGAAGGGCTACCAGTGGAAGCTCTCATGCCTTCTCCTCTCTTCACTGTGGCCTGGCAGGGTTCATATTGTAGGGTGGCAATGCCTCTTCCACACGTAAACTCCCACACGTGGTTTTTCCCTGGGCTGGTTTGGTGCTGAGCACAAGTCTTGGTACGTTGATGACGCGTAAACTCCTCTCCACGTACTTGTAGGGCGAAGGGGGGGGGACCTCCGCACTCCAGGTGCCTTGTCGGCCTGAAGCCCAATGCCGTCGCCCAGGGCAGTGCGCTGCAGGCAGACCACTGCACAACAAAGTGTGTGTAGAAAGGGGTCGGAAGAATTGCGAGTTGTGTTCCCTTAAAGCTTATGGTCCCTATATAAACATACTGTAACTCCACAAAACTCTATTCTAATGATTAAGGCCTCTACAGTATGGGTGTGCGTCTTCTTGGATGCTTGAGTGCCAGGCGCTGGCCTGGGCGGCACACTGGCAGCGGGCCCTTTCGGCCTTGAAGGCCTCGAGGAGTTGGGGATTTAGGTGATTTAGGGTTTAGGGTTTAGGGTTGAGGGTTGAGGGTTGAGGGTTGAAGGTTGAGGGCGTTTAGGGTGTAGGGTTTAGGGTTTATGTGTCAGGCGCTTGAGTCTCACTTCCAGGCATATGTCCCGGCTCCTGGTTCAAAAAGGGTTTAGGGTTTAGGGTTTAGGGTTTGGTTCCGGGCGAGGTATCGCAAGCCTGTTGCAAAAAGGGTTGGGGGGTTGAGGGCTTTGGGGGGGCATGACGAGCTCCGGGATTTCCGGATGAAAACGCAACTATAGCCATTTCAGGGCTCAAGGGTGTGGGGGGGGCAGCTGCACTTCTAGGGCTCGGTGGGGTTAGGCCCGCGAAATCTGAGCATCGACCCAGACTTCCCTCTCAGCCCTCCAGTGCGGGAAGAGGCCCTACATGAAGCCCTGATAGACACTGAGAAGCCCGTTTCATCTTCAAGCAAGCCCCCTATGATCAGCCCGAAGAGAGCCTGGTGAACCCTGAGGCCCCGACGCCGAATGCTCAGTCCGAAAAGCCCCTGCCCAGGCATTGCTGTTTTCTTTCTGAGTAGGGGTCTGTGCAGCATGACGACCCATGAACCTTCAAGCAGACCCTAAACCCCCAAGGCTACAAAGCGAAGGTGTACGTGGCTCAGGAAGGATGTGCTGAATTTGTTAGCTGGAAGGCATAGTTCCAGCTTGCCAGCAAAAGAACAGAACATCGTGGTGCTTTTCCTGCTTCTGTAAGGGCCCCTTATCTTCGAAAAGGGCCGTCCACGTAAGGAAGGAGGTTGTAGAGTTTAGGGTTTAGGGTGTAGGGATTAGGGCTCAGGTGTAGGCCACCTGATGCCTTTCGATCTCGACACACCATGGAATCGCCTTTTTGCCTTCGCTGCCTTCTACGTCATCGAGGGTATACCGCAGGGCTTTACTGAGACCTTCCTGCCATATCACTTCTGGGACTCGCGTCCCTGGGCCTACAAATGGCTCCTGGCTCCCCTAATCGACATCTTCTGGACCCGAAGGCGCTGGTTGTTCACCACGCAGGCAGTGATGATCCTCTCACTGCTGGGCTTGCTGGTGCTGACGGACCTCCAGGGCAGTTTCGCGGAGGTCCTTGGGACGGTCTTTGTGCACAACGTCTTCTCAGCCACGCAGGACCTAGCGATCGATGCCATCGCAGTGGGAAGCCTTCCCCTGGCCGAGGGTGCCTCTGCAAATGGGGCGATGTTTGCAGCCCAAGAGTTCGGCAACATGCTGGGAGGAGCTGTGGCGCTCGCCGTATCTTCGCAGTCGAGCTACCAAGGCGGATGCCTCTTCGTTGTCGGCTTGTTGGCGTTGGCATTCTTTGGCATAACTTGCCGCTTGCACCCTACCGTTGGAGTTCAGGCACGGCGCCCCGACACTGCCAGTCAGCAGTTGTTGGCTTATGTCAGGAGCCTCCGAGAATCCTGTGTTGGACCAGAGGCCATCCATTTCTGGCTTGGAATGGCTTTTGCACTGTTCCCGAGTGGGACATTACTGCTCAGAGGGCCGCACTGCAAGAGTTGGATGGTGATGCATTCTCTTGATGACGATTCGGTTGCGTGGGTGGAGTTCGCAGGGAAAACCGTGACAATCTGCACGATGCTGGCGGGAGGCTTCATGAGTTCCGGCTCCAACCGAAAAAAGTGGGTGGCCATGTCCTACGTCAGCACCATGTGCATCAGCAGCTTCGTGGCTTGGCTGTCGTGGACTGGCGGGAAGTTCTCATTCGAGACGTGGCTGGGCATCAAGGTGGCGTTTCACTTCGTCCACGGCTTCCACATCGGACCGCAGATGGCGCTGTTCCAGCAGCTCTGCCGGCCTTCCGTGGCGGCCACGCAGTTTACGATCTTCTGCTGCCTCTGCAACAACGCGGACAGTTGGGGCAAGAGATTTCAAGGCGCCTGGATTGAATCTGATGGATATGCTCGAACACTTCTCTGGGAGGTTCCTTTCGTGCTGACCCCACTGGCCATCCTACCTTTCATCGAGCCAGAGAACCTGCACACCGATTGATCGGGCCACGAAGAATGTGCACCACCTGCCCAAGAATCTGCACTGCAGGAGGTCAAGGCCGTAGAGCATCGTAGAGCGCAGGGCAGCCGAAGCTGCTGAGAAGTTCAGAATATTTGTGATTACGTATGATTACCACTGCTATGACTAGCATGATTGTTGTAATTATTTGGCCATGACTGTTCATGACTGTTGTTAACTCGTCGTCATCATGATTATTTTCTTGTGATTGAGTTATTTGCGCGGCGGCTTGAGGCTCACAGGGCTGCAAACATAACAGTCACCATGATGTTCTCCTATTAGTCCTTGCGTATTAAACACTAAGGCTTCCCACGTAACTATAGCGAAGGGCCCTTGCCTTTGAACCATGGTTGTCGAGCTTGTGGGAGGTTCGCCCAATAGGGTCCCACGCTTGCCAGCTCTGGTTCTTGAAGTTCCCGTGGCTGATTTTTGTGCAATGGGAGGGGGTACCTTAAACGCTAGTTAAGCCCTAAGCCCTAAAACCCTAAGCCCAAAGCCCTAAACCCCAACCCTAAGCCCCAAGCCCTAAATCCTACCTAAGCCCTAAACCCTATAAGCCCAACATGCGAGACTAGGTGCCCTGCAGTGTGTCCGAGAGGTCAGCGAGGCATGTGGCCAAAAACCCTATAAACCCCGAAGCCCCCGAAACACCCAACCCTTTTCAACGGAAGGCGGCCGCCCCGAGCCTCCCTGCGGCGAATGCGGCGATCCGGAGTTTGGGTGCGAGCCACTTGGGGCAGCGTGTTCATTGCGGTCGCTGCGCTAAACTGCGGTCCTTTTTGGGGTCCTTAGCATGAGGTGGCCCCTTTTTGGTTAATAGAGGCACCCAAAAAGGGTCCATCATGTAGAGAACGGAGCATATGGGGTGTAAGGCAAGGCATGAGCCAGCTCCTTGTAAGGCCTGCCACGAGGTTTAGAGAGCTCTAAGGGGTTTCAGGGAGCTCCGCGTAGGACACCCTCTCTCTTTTTTTGGGGCGCTTCCCCCCGTAACAGCCTAGAATCCCGAAAAGAGCTTCTGAAGTTCAGCGGCTCCCGAAAGGCATCGAAATAATTTGGGATGTTGCCCCTTATACTAGCAGCCCTTCATCGGGATTCTAGTACCCCCGCTATAATCATTCGATTAAGGACTGGTAGTATCAGGGGGAACATCCTAAGGGAGAATCTGAGGCTGGGCACGGGTTCTGGCGCACCTGGAGCGGCCCCTTGGCCTCTTTCTGAGGGTTTTGGACCATCGGCCAACGAGACCCACGTGGGTTTCAGAACTGGCCATGCGCACCCTAGAACTCTCTACCAGCCCAAGCTCGAAATCCTAAACCCTAGACCCTAAACCTTAAGCCCAAAAATACTATGATTCTAAGCCCAGAAGTCACTTGCAGGATGCAGGTGCAGCGCCAGGAGCCGGATCAGCACAGCCAGAACCAGCTCCTTGGACCTCACTCCTTCTCTCGAAACCCGGGACCTTCAGAGGCTTGGTGGCCCAGTGGTGCCCTTTGCCCTTTTTTTGCTTCTGGGTTCCCTTTCATAAAGCACCCAACCCAAAGAAGGGTGCCCTTACAACAATTTGGTTACTGGGCTACCACGGAGGAGTTTTTCTGTGTCGAAGCCAGCTGGCGCCTGGGGGTCGGGGCTTTGTAGGGCGTCAGGCCCCCCAAAACGTGTGCATGTTCTTGATTCACTACCGAGTACCGAACATGTTTGTTGTGCTTCCGAGCTTCTGGAAGTTATCTTCTCTTCCCCCCCCCCCCCCCCCCCCCCCCCCCGGAGGTTGCTCGCCGCCGCGCAGTCTGCCGGTGCTTGGCGTTTTGCGCTGGCCCTGCTGAAGGCCCCAACCGCAGTGAACATCAAAGGTCCATGTTCCGATGCAGCAATTGGGCCCTAAAGCTACTGAAAGAAGAACCCCTTTTGAGGCCCAAGTATGCACTATATATGGCAATATATGGGGTACGGGGACCCTTAGGGCCTTAGGGACAGGCATTTCGCAAAACTGCTTCTCTCCGACGGTGAACCCTGGACAGGGACCGGAGCAAGATCCCTTCGCAGAGGATGGGGGGCTGGGAAGTTTTTTCGGGGGGCGCTCGCGGGAAGTGAAGGGCAAGCGCGGAGACACACCTTGGTGTTTAGAAGTACAGAGTGTTCTAGTGTCGAAAGGAATCTCGGGATTCCGAGACTTAGTCCTACTGGAGAGGAGTTCGTGTTCGGGAGGGAGCATCAAAGGGTTGCAGTGTGCACAGGTGTGCCACATGCTGTCCTTCTACGTCAAGCAGTGACAGAAAAGGGTCTGCCAAAATGATCCCCTTAGAATGCTTACATAATCATATTCTCAACTACCCCCAAAAAGTATTTAGTTGCGCAGACCACCGTGCTGATCTCAAGAACCCTGGGGTTTGAAGCGGGCGGTGCGGGCGTCCTCTGCCCAGCACGTGGAAGAGCGGGACCGTGGTAGAAGTGTACTGAGCCGACTGAGCCTTTGGAGCATCTGCCCCCAAAGGCCCCATTTTGCAGCCCTGTGTGGAGGCTCGGCGGGCGGCCAAGCTGTACCAACTGGGAGGAGAGAATCACTGGCCTACTGGTTCTTAGCACAGCTTATGGGATCATAGAATTTAATAGAGGGTCCCCCCGGAGTTTTTATTTTCCCTACAAGAAGCAGTAAGCCACTTGACAGAACATTTCCGGAAGCCAAAATGCCTTCGAGTCTGCGAGGGGTCTTGAGATGCCTGCTTTTTTTTTTTGTTTGCATGGGTGGCTTTACTCTGTTTTCGTTTCTTTTCAGAAACGGCGGTGCGACGAAGCAAAGCTCTCGAATCAACCTGCTTGTTCCTTTTGTAGACGTTTGAAAAGAGGTTTCGACATAGAGCAGAGTGCTCTCTCTCTCTGACTCTCGCTTTCTCTACATATACACATTGTTTGTTGGTTTGCTTGCTTGTTTTCTTACTATACCTTATTTCGCAATTGGTGGTTATACTGGAAGTTGGGCCCTACGAGGACCCGTGCCGATGTCGGAAGTTGCCGCGATGGAGGGGCGAAGCCTCCCCGAGCTGGCAGCGACCCGGAGCCGTTCTTTTTCAGAGGATCCACTTGCAGAACGATTCAATTCTGTCTCCCCTCCCGAAAAAGTATCCCAGATAGCCAGATAGGGCTTTCGGGGTACCGAATTGCATTAAGACAAGTACTATGCGTGGACCCCCTCTGTTTTTGGATGCTGCTTTTTTTTGCTGGTCATCCGTAGGTGTTCTTTTGGGAAGGTCGCGGGTGATGGGTTGCGGCGTGTTGGGTCTGAGATGATGAACAGCTTGAATTTGGAGCATTTAGGACCTCGGCATGTTCGGAATCAGAAACGGGGCCGGCGATGAGAGCAGTTTTGGGTTTTGGCGCGGCGGGCTTGTGGATTTGTACTGTTTTTGGGCCGAATCTTGGGCGATACCAGACTCAGTCGGAACTGGGAACAACACATATCCTGGCCGACCCACTGAAGTGGTACAATTTCCCCCCTCCTCCACAAAGCCTGCTATGCTGTGGAAGGGACGGACTTTCTTGATGCTGCTAGCAGCCGAACTGCAACAACAGCAGAAAGGATCAAGCTCCGCAATGCTGAGGCAGTTCTGTGGTCCCTGGCCGCCGTGGCATCCGATGAGGCATTGCTCCTGCAGGTGCAGAAGGAGACCCGAAGAAAAAATGGAAGCTAAGAAGCTAAGAAGAGAAGAGAGTCCGAAGTCCTGCAGCCCCAGTCCCTTGCCACCCCCCTTACCTTACCTCCACCCCCTTGAGACTTGGCAAAAAGGAGAAGCAACAAGCAACCGCTCTGCCGTTGTACGTTGTGGGTCAATCGCCGTCTCATTGGGGAGTTCGCCTCTTTGTGCGTTCAGTTGCGGGCTTTGTCAGGAGATCTGCAGCAGGATCCTGGGTGGTCAGGTGCGAACCCTGGCAACTTGGCTGCCTGGAAGAGCCACCATGATCCATTCATACACCTGAGGTTATGCCTGGTTCTAGCATCGCACTACAAGGCGTCAAGCCTCAGTTGTGCAGTCATGAGCCACGACCCAAAAGGCATAACAAAAAGGTTGAAAGAGGCTCAGACACCCTAGCCCTGGCATCCGCACTTTCGCTGCTTCTTTTCCCTCTACTCTAAACGATGGGTACCTCGGGGACCAAGTGTCGGATCAGCAACCTGGTGCCGCCAAAGGAGACCCCGAGTCTGGGGAACGTGGCTTGGGCCCTGGCGACGAAGCCCCCGAGAGACCGGAGGTTGAATGAGGTGCCACTTGGCGGCCGTTATTTCGGCGAGCTACGGAAAGGGAAATCAGTAGCACTTTTTCAAGGGAAGAGTGGTGCGTGGTGGTTTTCCGCAGCTTCTAAGCTGTGGCCAAATTCCGTGGCCCTCAAGCCTTAAGCCCTAATTCGTGGCCTGCGTGTGAATTGTGCAGTTGCGCCCTCTAGGATCTAGTGGATATACCTTTTACCTGTTTGTGGCTCCTGTTTCTGTTGCGAAGCAATTCTGGCGCTGAAATAGCAGGCTGAGAGCTCCATAGGCCCGGTGAACTCTTCTCTCCTTCAGATTTGCTGATGCTGCTCTGGGATGTTCAGGTCGTCCGGGCGTGAAGAAGTTAGTCAGTTCGATCGAATCCTTGCCTGCCGTGTGCGATGTGCGAGGGCCGAGGGCCGTGGGCAAAAAGGTGGTCAAACTAAGGAGTGCAACGCTAAAGCATTCCAGGATGTCAGACACGTGCATTCTGTCCATCACCCATGAAATGGCCGAAGGCCATTGGGGAGGTTCTTGGGCCCCACTCCACTCAAGCACTTCTATTCGCACTTCTATTCAGTGGGGGAGGTACACCCCCCTTTCTTGGGGAATCTTTTGGAAATTCCGCACTCTCAAGAAGGCTCTAAACTTTGTTGAAGTGTGTCGCGTGTCGCCCAACGCAAAAAATAAGTGCAAGTGTCGAGGATGGCCCAGATCCTCCGAGAGCTGCTGGGGCGGTCCACGACGCTGCCCCGCCAAGCGCCCCCCTCCGCGCCCCCCGGGCACAGACTCGCGATCTCTTTCTTGGGGCAGAAGTAGGTTGAAGTAGGGTTTAGGGCTTAAGGGTTGTTGAGGATAGGGAGCCCTAAGCCCTAAGCCCTCAATGGCCCTACGAAGCCCATAAAGCCCCAACAAAAGCCCTAGCTCATCCCCCGACAGAGGCTTGTTTTCAGAAATGGTAGAGGGCTCCGAAGTCCTTCCCTTCTTTCTGAAGAGGCAGCCCAAGGGCCCCCCTAACTCGGCTTCCCATATGATATGTTTAAAGGTTTAGGGTTTATTTGATTTAGGGCTTAGGGTTTAGGGTTTAGGGTTCAGGGGTGTCGATATGGACATGTGAGGTTCGTCGTCATGGCGGAGGCGGTGCTGGCCACCCTTTGGGCCGGACATGTGCTCGAGCTTGGCATCGGAGGCGGCGCGCAGGTCGGGGAGGCCGGGCTGTGGGGGGTGATACACCTCGTGTACGCTGTACAGCCAGCTGCAGGGTTTGGGGTTAGGAGGGGAAAAGGGGGTTTAGGGTTTAGGGCTAAGTAGGGTGATAGAGGCGGTCTGGGGGGGGGGGGGCGGGGAGGATCCTAAGGGGGCATGGGGGCTTGGGCCCAATCTGACTTTAGAGAGTGTGCTGTCCCACTTGGGCGGCTGGGTACCCAAATTTCTGCCCCAACCAGGGGAGGGGAAAAGGTTTTGCACATAGTGCACCCATGGCCGTCTGTTCGTTTCATGTTGGGCGTCTTTTGGATTTCGGAGCCCCTCAAAAGGCGGCAACCAAAAAGACAACGACCTGAACTCGACATGCTCTAAGAACTCGAGAGGGGTTGCAGAGGTTCATGCTGGAGATGGCTAAGTCATCCCAGAGAGGTGCTGAGATCACTGGGGCGGGCGCTGGACGCTGGCAGCTGCACCCGGAACATCCTGCCAAGCCTCCCCACGGTCACAGAGGACGATGGGCCTTGCATATAGGCTTCAGGCAGCTGCTTGAACCGTTTTCTAGTGTCGAAATTGCAGGGGTTCATGTCAGGGAGACAGGGTAACGCATCCTGCCCCATGAAGCCGAACCGTTGTACTCCAGAGGAGGCGCCGTCTTCCTTGCCGCGGAATGTGTGGAGCTTCAGGGATGGCATGGTGCTGCTGAAGCCCGACGGCTGGCAGATCTACGACAAGGTGCTCTGGATAGTAGGAGTCAGGTTAGGATTCGCAGGGGATAGTATGATTTTCGATTCCCAAGAAAGTGAGCTGCATTCTCAACTGCGGTTGATTCTTGGAAGCATTCGAGGAACGCCAGTGAAAGTCTCAGCAATGAAGCTGTAGACGACATGGAATGAAGAAGGACCTTGCGAGAATCAGTTGAGCCGAAGCTCGCCAAGACCCCCGAGCGGTCACCGGTGACTACGCCCGAGCACGGTCACACCCGGTCATACCGAGTCATGCCCGGTCGTGCCCTCTCATACCCGGGCATACCCGGGCATACCCACACCCAATCAGACCCGGTCATCCCGTCCCGTGGATTTGAGAAAGAGCAGAGACCCCAAAGATGAAGCGAATTCGAGTGCAAAAGTACGGAACAGGTGCAAGACACCGAATTCAACCCGAAACCTCGCCTTGCAGGTAGGTATCATAGGAGTCACCCGCACACCCCACATCACTACATCTTAGAAACCGCGCCACAAAAGAAACCACATGAAAACTGTCTCCAAAGGCCCGAGCTAGCTCTCCATCCTGCCTTTCGGAACTCCTCCTCCTCCTCCTCTTCCTCTTCCCCGCCAACAAAAAAGGGCGACGAAGAAGAAGAAGAAGAAGAAGAAGAAGAAGAAGAAGAAGAAGAAGAAGAAGAAGAAGAAGAAGAAGAAGAAGCAGCAAAGGGCCATCCATCCCATGCATCCGTTTTCTTGACTCAGGTCGAGGTTGCCTCCGATCCTGGCGGCCCGCGGCTCCGTGGCAACTTCTCAGCTTTTTGGGGGTCCCAGTGGCCTCGGCGGCGGCACCCGCTCCCTGCAGACGCCTGGCGAACTTTTAAGGTCTTAGTGGGCTCACAACATCGCTCACCCCGCCCGGCAAAAAAAGATCACGCTACCAATTCAACTTGAGCTGCGCCTACAGGCCCTGACACTCTGAAAGACGTTTTCAGAGAAAGTGATGAGTTTTGTCATCCACGCAAACACAAGGTCACAAGGTGCAGCTGCAATTACCTTGCAAAACCACAGAGGAATGACCGGTTTCTATGGCTGCGACAGCTGTCATGAAGCCCGAGAGCACCTGCACTCGACCATGCTCAGAACCTTTTCAGTGAACCACTCAGCCGTGAAGACCAATCTCAAACATGATGCCGACCCTCTTGTTCGGGTTGTAGCTTTAAAAGGTCTTAGTCCCAGAACCCCTGTGAACATACTCTAAGCCCTAGCCCCCAAAGCCCCAAGCCCCCGCAAAAAGAGACCTGGAACTCAAGGACCTCTCCTGCAACTGTGGGTTCCTCCATCGCCTGGACGTGCCGAGCTTTCCGGCTGACCCGGAAGCTCCTTCTGTGTGTTGTGCTGTCAACCCCTGTTTTGCGAAAACTGTTGTGGTCCCTATATAATACCCCTCTAAGGCCTTTTTGGGGGGACTTTGGGTGGCCTTGGGAACAGGGCTGTCCCTACGCCAGCCCAAAAGGGCCCCAAGCTTCCCTATGCCGCCGCCACAACCTGCAAGTCTTTGTCCCACTGCGGAAGCCTAAGGTTCCGGTCTCATCCTGGCCGCCAGCTCCTACCAGATGCCTTTCGGACTTCTTATTTTCCAAGATTATTCATTTATTTTGTTTGTTTTTTTTTTTTTGGGGGGGGGTGTATCTTGAGTGTTGACAGTTTTTTCTCGCAAGCGCACGGGGGCTTCACGGCGGGCCGAGCTGCGACAGATGGGAGGGCAGGCGCGTTCGCTTCTGAGGTACTACGAGCTGCGCCGGCAGCTGGCCGTCGGGTCTCTTCACCGGGCCCGGTGTTTGTTTGAGAGTTTACAGGGCTTCATCGGGTTTGGGGTAGACTTTCGGTGGCTTACGTGTGGAGTGCAACAGTGAAGATTGTGCCTGCCATGCACAAACTATAGGGGGTTTTAAGTTTAGAGGGCAAACGGCCTCTGACTTCACCGAGATGCGACCCGACTCTTAGCCCTGCAGCCCTTTCGTTAAGAGCCCTGGCAAGTTCGCAAAGAAGCCGATAAGGAATCTCGAGGTAACAATGACCCTACAAAAAAGGTACCTAAGCCCTCCCTAAACCCTAAAACCCTAAGCCCGGTTTCCTCCACACATCACGAAGCAGGTTTGTATGTATGGGGATTTTGTATTTTGTGTGATGTTGGGATGTGCAGTTGACAATAATGAGATGGCCGGTTGTGATAACAGGCTTTACAAGGTACTCGTCTGGGTTGATCGGGTTTGTGGATTGATCCTTTATTGGTGTAGCTGTTTTGGGTGATGTTGTTTTCGTTGACCAACAAACGGAGACGAGCACCCATGCACCCAGTCCGACAAAAAAACCCGAGCCCTGCGCAGGAGTATGCGGTCCTCAGCCACGGCTGGGTCCCCGGCCGCACGGAGATCGGAGCCCCGGTACGGTGGTCGTCCGCGAGCGCAGCCTGGACTTACTTTGTGCTTTTGGGTTTGCTCTGGGGGCTTGGTTTAGGTTTGGGGTTGGGGTTTAGGGTTTAGGTTTTAGAGGTTCGCCCTATAAGCCCTAAAACACTATAAACCCTAGAGGCTCAGGATATTGGGGATTTACGACCTGTGGGGCTTAGTGCAGAGGAAGTCAAAGGTGCAGGGTCCGGATGCTGGGTGTCTAGGACGCTAGGAGGGTTTAGATTTTTACAGCCCTTGCTTCCAAGCTTGTTCTTTTGTTTTATCTGAGGCTTTTTGTGCATTTTGACGTTTAGGGCCAGGGTTTTTTGTGTTCGATTTCGATCTCCCCCCTCGAACATCCTCGAACCCTAGAAGCCCTGAACTCCAAAGACCGCATAGTTAGAGCCATCCGAGAAACGCCCTTGGGATCACCGACCGCCCCGGGCTGGGGGGTTTATACAGGAAAGTTTACCTAAACCCTAAACCCTGAACCCTGAACCCTGAACCCTGAACCCTAAACCCTAAACCCTAAACCCTAAACCCATCAATAGGGTTGCAGGAATGGTTATGACTAGGCTGTCCTTCTTCATGGGAGCTGCGCGCTTTTTGGTGGCCCCCCCAAAAAGCCAAGGTCGCGCGGCAGGAGCTCACCAAGGTCACGAAAGGAGGCTGGCCCGCCAAGACCTACCTCCTTGCTCGTGCGTGCCTTGGCAGGCAGTGGATCCCCCTCCCCCTCCCTAAAACAGCTAAAATGCCCCGCCCGCCGCCTCCAAAGACCCCACAATCCTCCTGGCTTTTGGAGGGACCAGAGGGGCGAGTTCAGCAAACTCAGATGGGCGTTGAGGGTTCGGGGGGCCGAAGCAACGTAAGACGTGCTGTTTCTTGCCTCCACCTCGCGATCGGAAGGCCTTAGGGTCGAGGTTGCGCGCTTGCCCCCACGGATGTGGACGGGACATACTTTGCATGCGGATGTCATCGGATGTCCTTGCTTTCGGCTTCTGGGAATGGTTGCAGTGACCTGACGAGATTGGGTGCGTGGAGGGGTCGTGCGCACGTGCAGGCGGCTCCCTCTCTTGCTCTCTCTCTGTGGGCTTGTGTGTGTGTGTGTGTGTGTGTGTGTGTGTGTGTGTGTGTGTGTGTGGGTGTGGGTGTGTGTGTGTGTGTGGTGTGGGTGTGTGCGGGTGTGTGTGTGTGCGGGTGTGCGGGTGTGTGCGGGTGCGGGTGCGGGTGCGTGTGCGGGTGCGGGTGCGGGTGCGGGTGCGGGTGCGGGTGCGGGTGCGGGTGCGGGTGCGGGTGCGGGTGCGGGTGCGGGTGCGGGTGCGGGTGCGCGTGCGTGCGTGCGTGGGTGGGTGGGTGGGTGGGTGGGTGGGTGTGTGGGTGTGTGTGTGTGTGTGTGTGTGTCTTTGTGTCTTTGTGTCTTTGTGTCTTTGTGTCTTTGTGTCTTTGTGTCTTTGTGTCTTTGTGTCTTTGTGTCTCTGTGTCTCTGTGTCTCTGTGTCTCTGTGTCTCTGTGTCTCTGTGTCTCTGTGTCTCGGTGTCTCGGTGTCTCTGTGTCTCTGTGTCTCTGTGTCTCTGTGTCTCTGTGTCTCTGTGTCTCTGTGTGTGTGTGCGCGCGCAAATCCGAAGCCCTTGCGCCCTCTAAGCCCCAAGTAGGTCATCTGGGGCGACCCAAAAAATGAAGACAATTCAGAGAGCCGACCAGGCTTGGCGCCCCGAAGCCCTCCACCCTAAACCCACGAAAGTCTCAGGCACTTGGCCGCCGAAGGCCTTGCCCTGACTTTGCTGGACGTCCGCATCCAGACGGATGCTTGGCCCGTGGCTTTTGGGCTTCTGGCACTCTTCGAGCTGGTTTTATTGGTTAAGTGTTTATAAGGGTTCGGGGTTTCAGGGCTTATCAAACAAGCGCTAGTCCAGAAGCAAAGAAAAGAGGGTTCAGGTTCAAGGGGCTAGGGAAAGTGCTGAATGGAGGGTTCTCAGGGTTCTCGGGGGGGGGCGGCCGGGGGGGGGGGGGGGGGGGGGGGGGGGGGTTGGTGGTTGGTCCAAAGTGCGACGAATATTTTTTATTCCGCATCACGAAGACCCCCAGTCGTCATCCTTACTAGGGCCTGCTAGGGTTTCAGGCCTCTGCAACAGCCTTGAGTTCGAGCCTTCCCCCCCAAGCCCGGAAATCTTCCTGCAAGCCGCATCATTGCATCCCGAACCCCCCAGATAGCTATAAACCCTAAACCTAAAACCCAAACCCTAGAAGCTCGCCCGCATACGCCGGTCGAAGAAACCCTAAACCCTCAACCCCCCCCCCCCCCCCCCCCCCCCCCCAAATTTCTCATCCCTCCTTAAAGCTCAGGGCCGGAGGCACCAGATCCGCACACACCTGGCGCATGTCGGCTTCCCCTCCCTGGCGGACGGGAAGCTTAGCCATCCTAAATGACCAGGACCTCTTTGATATTGGCCCCCCCTAAACCCTAAACCCTAAACCCTTTGGGGGAGGGGCGGGGGGTGGTGGAGTCGAGGGGTTCAACATGCTCAGGCGTTTCTCAGAGCGTCTGCAACACTTATGTTAACACGCGGCGGGCGCTTCTCGGACTCGCAAGAGAGCGGGTTCAGGTCTTGACATGTCCAGGGTGTGGGAAGTGCGGGGCCCAGGAAGTACTCCGCCGACGGAACCTACCAAATTGATGCCCAGTGGTGTCCCCGCAACTTTCTGCATCGCTACCAGCTTCGGTTCTCTGTGCCGCAGGCGTGCAAGGACGGGTGAGGCTTCAGGTTCTGAATGTGTTGTTAATTTACCCTCCCAAACTCCTCATTCTAAGGGGACTGCTGGCTTTGAAGGTAGAATGTGGCTGTAGGGCTCAGGGTTCTAAGGGGCCCTCGGAGGGTTATCGACAACAGGAGCCGTTAAACAAACTTGCGAAGCACCCGTCGGTGGGTTTGAGGTGATGCATCGGTTTAGGGTTTAGGGTGTAGGGTTTAGGGTTTAGGGTTTAGGGTTCCACAGGAGCCCTGAAGCAAAAAAAGGGTTTGGGGTGTAGGGTTTCGGGTTTAGGGTTTGGGGTTTAGGGTTTGGGGTTTGGGGGTTTGAGGCTTCCGAACTGAACCGGGGCCATATGAGGATGTGCCAGTCTCCTTCCTGGAGCCCTTGCCGCTGGACCTCCGGCGGGCCCTATCCGAAGCTCGGATTTGCTTGAGGACGTTTTGCCCTTTAAACCGAAAACTCTAAACCCTAAACCCTAAACCCTAAACCCTAAACCCTAAACCCTAAACCCTATAAAGTTCTTTCCCGGTTGAAAGGGCGCGCGACTGAAACAAAATCGTCGAAGCACCCCGAGGCAACCGCCATCCTGAAGCTCTTCGGAGCAGCAGAAGACTGGCTTCGGCTGCTCCAAGCCTGGAAGCCCTAGGTCTTGAAGTTCTCAGAGAGCCCCGAAATTCAAAGGGGGTTTAGGGGCGTTTGGGGGCGTTTAGGGTCTTTAGGGTTTTTAGGGTTTTTAGGGTTTTTTAGGGTTTACGATTTTAGGATTTTTAGGGTTTAGGGTTGGAGGGCCCCAAGAAAGCACTTGTCACCTGGAGCACAGAACCCCCCACCCCTCCCCACCCCCCCCCCCCCTCGGCAGCCCTCCAACCCTCGATTTGTACAACTACACGACGCATCTAAACACCAATTGAGTTTGCGGTTCACGGGGCGGAGGGCCAAAAAGGCCTGGGTCCCAAATCAGAACCCTAAACACTAAATCCTAAACCCTAAACCCTAAACCCTAACAGGAGAAGAAGAGAAGGCTCAAAGGTTGAGATTCTTGGGAGGGCCCCAAAAAGTTCGGCATTTGGGTGCCTCCGTCGCGGACCCCAGCGGGTCCATTGCAGTGACAGCGGCCGGCAAAAGAGAAGTCGGGACGGGGCGTTCTGGTCGCTGGGAGCCGATGTGTTGAGGGTTCCCGTGGGCGTGTCACGCAAAATACCCATGATTCGCGGGTGTCTTGGCCAGCTAACTTGGATACATGGGAGGTCCTGGTCGATGTCGTGGAACGACAAAAATGATGGACTCTTTCTAGGGTTCTAAAGGGAGGGGGGTTAAAGGGCGTACCCCAAGTACCCGAAGCTTCCGTAAGGTTCCCTATGAACTTTGGGTTCAAGGATTTAAGAGCTCCCTCTGCCTCTGTGCCCCTCTGCACAGCCCTTCGCGGCGCCTCTCTGGGCTCTAAGAAGCGCGGTCCAAAGCGACGGTTTTGGGGGAACCAGGGTGCCACATGGCCGAGGAGGAGGAGACAAAGAAGCACCGCGGCCACCAATTCGGCACCCTTTTTTTCTTTTGAGAGAGAGAGAGAGAGAGAGATCGCACAGCCAACTAGATAACTAGATTCTGCAAGCTGAGTGGATGTTGGCATGAGATGCGCAAGAACAACTTGAGGTATGATGTCCCCTTGATCCGCTTGAAAGATTGTTCGAGCCAGCTGGATACAGATGACTTAGATGAGGCCACTACTTGGGGCAGCTGGATAAAAGGCGTAGAGAGAAGAGCGTAGGTGAGGCATGGTGTAGTCTGACGGGAAGTGCCGCACGAATCACGGGGTAAGGCGAGAGGCTTCAGGGCTCTTAAGCCCCCCATGATCCGGTCAGCTTGTCTTGATCCCTGAACGCTGAACCCACGCAAGGGCTTTTCAGCTTCTCCCTCTCCGTTCCAGCTAGCTTTTCCAGTGCTTTCCCAGGAGGAGCGCAAGGCCTTGGCGGAAGTCTCAAAGATTCCTGGCGAGCCCATATCCTTTGATTCACATGAAGCCCTTTGCCGTATACACCTTTTGTTGATTATGGCCCTAAACCCTATAAACCCTAAACCCTAAACCCTAAACCCTAAACCCTAAACCCTAAACCCTAAACCCTAAACCCTAAACCCTAAACCCTAAACCCTAAACCCTAAACCCTAAACCCTAAACCCTAGCCGAAGGCCTCAAGGGGACCCCGGGGCCCCAGAAGCCCAGGAAGGGCTACTACCACGCCCGGCCGAAGACCCAGGAAGCGCCCTCGCCGCAGCGCATCGACAACCCCGAGGACCTGCCCCAGGAGCGGAGCCCTGTGTCGTGGGCTCTCTCTCCCTGAAACGAATATATATGTATAACTATATATACATATATGTATATATATATATGTGTATGTATATATATATATGTACATATACACAAATACATATATGCATATTTTGTTTTTGGAAGGGGAGGGGGGATTTTGAACAGTTCTCATGGTTTCAGAGCTCCTAAGGACTTGTAGGGTGGTTGAGCCGGCTGCTGGTGCTGTTTCGTGGGTTTCCGGGGCGGTTTGCACAAGTTCTCAGGGTTGACATGTTGGGATGCCTCTTCTACCGAAGCTGTCTTGGCAGGCCAGGCCCACGACGATTCGCAAGCGGACGACATTCGACACATTCCAGAAGAAGTGGGACAAGTTCGACAAGGAGGAGCCTGAACTCAAGGCAGGATCTCTCTACTTCCTTTTTCGAGCTCATTTGTGTTGGATGTTAAGCTTAAGAGAGAACTCCTCCGACCCGTAAAGTCCAGGATCGAAATCCGAAGCCACCCAAAAAACTCGACGAAGCCCCAGAACTCGGCCAAGGTGGTTGAGCCACAGAAACCGGTGGATGCCCCTCCATCTCGGTTCAGCTTCTCTTGCTGTCGGAGGAAGAAGTAGCTGAGCCCGTGCACCCAAATGGGTGTGGCAAGAGCTGCTTTGAGAAACTCTGTCCGCCGGAATGCGTCAGAAAATACAAGGTCGCAGGGTGAGGAAAGGCCCTACTGGCTTATAAGCCAATCTCACTATCTGTAGTGTAGTAGTGTAGAGCATTATCCACGCACACATGTTTATACATGCGTGTGCGTGTGATGATTTTGTTGATGCGGTGAAGGGTGATTTTGCATCTCTAGGATTTGGGCAAAAGGCTTGGCCCCCGAGCCAAGCCCAGAACCCTGTTGCGCTTTGCGGGGCCTAAACCCTAAACCCTAAACCCTAAACCCTAAACCCTAAACCCTAAACCCTAAACCCTAAACCCTAAACCCTAAACCCTAAACCCTAAACCCTAAACCCTAAACCCTAAACCCTAAACCCTAAACCCTAAACCCTAACCCTAAACCCTGCTACAACAGGACAGAGACTGTTGAACCGGACGGCAACGGCAAGGAGAAGGACAAGTATAACCAGGACTACCTTCGAAGAGGCCCCCAAGTCTTGTTCTTTTGGACCTTTTGTGCTTCCCTGACTCTAGGTAGGTAAGCCCTTGGGAGATTGTGTTTCCCTTGTTTTGGTTTGAGAGGATCAGATTTTCGATTTTCCCGTTTTGGGTTTGAGAGGATCATATTCAAGAATACTTTTTCAGAGGGGTTTAACCATCCTAGCCTCTAGAGCAGCCCGAAACTAGTTGTGATCCATTGAGCTAACTCCAGCGACTTTGCTTTCTCTTAGGGGCTCCCTCAAAAGGGAGGGCGCATGGGAAAACCTGGACGCAAGTTCGGCTTGAAGTGAGGAAAGCCGTTCGAATCCGAAACCTTCTGAACAAGGAGTGGATGAGCCCTGAAACTCAGAAGAAAACCAGGATTGCCCTCTCCTGGTCTCAGGGCGTAGGAATGTTGGGGTTTCAGGGCGGGGGCCGCGTGGGTTTAGGATTTTAGGGTTTTGGGCTTTTGGGGTTTGGGGGTTTCGGGGTTGACACGGATGGTTTCGGTTTGCGCATGCCTCCTCAAGCATGAACCTTGGCGAAAAATGCCCGTCGTTCAATGTGCCGGGCGCCGACCTCAGTCCACGCTTCAGAAAGGGGTTGAGGGGTCTGAGGGGTTTGCTTATGCCACATCCTGCATGCGCTTCTTGAGGGGCTTTGCAATTCCCAGAGCTCTTTAACCAGACCACTCAGCCCTCAGCCCTCCTAAGCATTCGGAGGCCGGGTAAAAGGCAGTTTCGGGGGAGGTTGACGTTTCAGGCCCCAAAGGGTTTAAGGGCTTAAAGGTTCTAAGTCTGCGGAAGTCGTAGGGGCTAAACGCCCAAGCTTGACCCTCGAACCCCCTCCGGACGACCCCTAAGCCCCAAGAACTCCTGAGTATCAACGAGAGCCAACAACACCCCGAAACCCCAATCGCCCTGTAACTAGAAAACCCCAAACGCCTGAAACACTAATGCCTAACCCCTTCTACCCATAACCCGAAAACCCGCAAAAACCAACAACAAAAAACCAACCCCCCCACCCCCCCCTCCCCCCCCCCTCCCAAACAGAGCAGGCGTCGCCCGCATGACCAACCATCAGAGCTCGGACGGCCAGGGCCAAAGATACCTCGGAGGTCGGGAGCTTCGAGGTGTGCTGCAGCCTCTTCTCCCCTCACCGACACCCACCCCCCCTCCCAAGGCCCCTAAACAACGCGCCAAAGCCCTTTTGTTGCGACAAAATGTTCATTCTCCTAAGCCCCTGATCCGCCCCGCCTCTCTCCCTCAAAAGATGCCCTTAAAGAAAGGAACCTTAGACACAAGACTTCCCCGAACCCCTCTGAGTCTCAAGACAAGGCCCCTTAAAAACCCCAAGCCACAAGACTTCCCCCCCGAATCCTCTGAGTCTCAAAAAAAAAGGCCACTATGAAAAACTTAAGCCACTTAAGACTTACCCTCCCTAATCCTCTGAGTCTCAGCCCCTTAAAACCCCAGACTTCCCCCCGAATCCTCCGAGTCACCCTCCGGAGTGAGCGGGATGAGCTCATTGACCTGATCACCGCCGCCGGGGGCGGAAGCCTCTTGGACAGGTTTCAGAAACCTTAAGTTCCCGCTCCTTATGACTCTTCGGGTTTGTTCCATAAGTAAAAAACTATCGCCCCCTTTCGTCATTTTGGCTCAGGAGTTTGGGGGTGGCCCTACAGAAGGCCCGACCAGTCACTAGTCCCCAATAGACAACTTGCAGAACCTAGTTGACAAGAACTCAAGGAGTTGTGTTCCTGTACCTCGCCTAGAGAGCTGGGTACTTTAAGCATCCCCCCGAGTTTACCGAGGATCAGAAGCCTTTCTCCCTTTCTTTGTTTGGGTGTAGCGTGTAAGTCCAAGGGATCAGGCTCCCCTAAACCCCAAACCCATCCAAACCCTAAACCGCAGGATTGAAATGGAAATCGTCTGGCAGCAATGGGCAGTGTAGAGGGGGTAGAGTAGAGTGTAGCCCACCATGGGCTATCCCTACATGGGTTCTAAAGAGGGGAATCCTTTTCGAAAACGGAACCTTTCTCTTATGGTTTTTTCTTGGAATCTCGAACACCTTTCAGATGGGAGGCACCGCGAAGCCGTGCATGGCCCAAGCCGAAGAGAGCACATGAGCCGATGGGCGGGAAGCCCCCCCCCCCCCCTCAAAACCCAACTACATAGCCCCATACTTTCCGCAGACCATTTGCAGAACCCTGCATGAACCATTTGTACACTTAAGAGACCATGCCCCCAAGAATTGGTGGGCTCCCTAAACCCTAAACCCTAAACCCTAAACCCTAAACCCTAAACCCTAAACCCTAAACCCTAGGGTTCTGCAAGGAAGCCTTGCCAATCCCAGGTCTGATGCGGGGCTGGAGGTGCCCGGGAGGTTAGCTGAGGAGTTCAGCTTGAAGGTTCACCCGGTAGGGTTTTTAATCTTAGGGTTTTATCGGTGTTTTTAGGGTTTCTAGGGTTTATAGGGTTTATAAGGTTTATTTATAGGGTTTATAGGGTTTCTCGGGTTTAGGGGTTTAGGGTTTACAGGGTTTTGGGGTTTATAGGGTTTAGTGTCTCAGTCATGAGTACTGGGGAGGAGGGGGGGCGAGAACTGCGCAGTTCCCGGCAGTACCATAGGCCTTCGGATGCACAAGAGGGTTGAGGGTTCAAGGTTTATAGGGCTTTTGGGTGTTTACAGGTACCCAACAAAAGTCCGTCAATGTGTACCTCCCTCCCCTTTCGTTTTGGTGGAAGTATGTAATGTAGATGCCCGTTAAACTGGCGGGGCTTTGTTGTGCGAGGAGATCCATCCCCAATGTGCAGGGAGTACCTATCCGGACAAGGGGGGAAACCCTAAACCCTCCTAGATGACAAGGGTCTTTCAAGATCCAAACCCCGTGAATCTCTATACGAGACGCGGCCCTCAAGGAAGGAAGCCAGACAGAACCCCAAAACCCGAAGCCAAAACCCTGAAACGAAACCCCCCTCCCCCCCTCCCACCAATCCCAATTCCCCAAACCCCGCCCCCTTACCCCCCTCTAAACCCTAAACCCTAAAAACTAAACCCTCCCCTCCCCTCAGCACAAGATGCTTTTGGCAGGCAAGCCCTCGACCCGCAAGGAGAGCTAGAGGCCGATCCTGTAAAGCTTGTGGGTTGAGTTACGAAAGGGTGTTGGATTGGGGTAGCTTCAGCCCAAAATCACCCCCAAATACCCACATGCCCAAATCGGAATCCTCCTTTCAAGTGGTCGTGGGTGGCATACTTGGTATGAGAGTCCTCTTATGATGAGAACGCCACACTTTCTCAGCGATGCCCGAGGTTGACTATGACGATTTCTGCCGGGTGACAGGGCGCCAGCCTCAGCTTCGACTGTGTCATGTTGAGCTATCCCCCTGCAATAGGGTTACCCTCTTGGTCCTGGAAACTCCCTGTCCTGGATGTGTTTTTTGAAGAGGCTCTGATGGCATGCTTGAAGAATAATTGCTTTTGGGCATTCGGTTTTGGGATAAAATGGAGAAGTAAGTTAGAGGGCTTACGGCATGTTTGGCGCGTGTCTTGCCTTCACCTGGCGTCGCTGACAAACCTATGCTATGCACTACGTCGAGCTATGCGTTTGTTGACAGAAGCCTGCACCGCATGTTCCACCCTTACGCCCCCCCCCCCCCCCCCCCCCCGCACCCCCCGAGTACTCCATATTTCGGTCAGGCAGTGGCGATGGGTCGGGGACATCAATGCTCTTTTTGGGGGCGATGGCGTCGGTGCCCAAGTGATGCTACAGGTCCCTTCGGGAGTGCAGTGAAGTCAACTCTTCCAAGGACAGGGCTTACAGGGTTTTCTTGCTCAGCAATAGAGGGAGCCTTTTCAGGGATTCTCCACTGATCCAGCCGACCATGAGTCAGAGCACTTGCGAAAATTAGGGTCCCGTTGTGAGTCCTTCATAAATGTAGTACGGCACCCTGAAACGAAGGACCCACGAAACATGACCTTGTTTTGGAGAGCTTTTCCCATTTCTTGCTTCCCTGAGTTACTTCCCAGCCTGGTGCGCCGAGGATCTGGACCATTTGTCCCTGATGGAGATTGCCAACAAAGAAGGCATGAGAGGGGAAGTTTGGAGTACTCCGCCTTCAGCCGTTTTTAGGAAGCACCATCCCCTTACATTCATTCGCAGGAGGATTTCGGACTTACTCCGTCTCTTAGGCGTCCTAAACCTTAAACCCTACACCCTACACCCTACACCCTAAACCCTAAACCCTAAACCCTAAACCCTAAACCCTAAACCCTAAGCCAGGCAAGCTGATGAACAACTTCATGCCGGCAGCTGAAGGGGGCGGTATTTGGGCAGGAAGCCTCCCAGCCTGGGCGCAGTTCTCCATTGTTTTTATTACTATTATTACTATTATTATTCTTATTATTATTATTATGTTTGGGGGAGGGGGGGGAGGATTCTAGTGTTTAGGGTGTAGGGTTTCTAGGGGGCATGCCCTTCCTTGCCCCAAGGCGGTGGATCAAAGAGGAGTTCGGCTCTCCCGCTGATTTCTTCGTGGCCTTAGATGCCAACAAGAAAGGGAAGGCCGGAAGCCCGTAAGAGCATAGAGATGCAAGCAAGTCAGTAGTGAAGCTGTCGTTGTTGGTGCCTTTAGAGAACTTCTTGCAAGTGTGGGAGTGGGGGGGAAGGCTGTGACAACAGTCTGTGGTGTAGTTTTGCGAGCTACTCGTAGCCTGTGTGGGAATGCTATCTCAGTGAGGAGAAGGCCGGGAAGTGGGGTCTGGCATGGTGCATTTGAATAAACACCTGCTCCCCCTTCCGCGGTGCAGGTGGCCAGACACACCTTTGTTTCCTTCTGCGTGAACCGGAACTTTAAGGCTGGGGCCTCTGCCTGCTGTGGCTTCCGCATCAAGTCGAGCAGCTGCCAGCATCCACCATGTTGCCTCCAGAAGTTGAGGGCAGAAGCCGGGGATCCCTTGAAAAGAAGTCTCCGGTAACCCCCCCCCCCCCCCCCCCCCCCCGAATGAAACTCAGCACACCGTGATCGCAATCCTAAACCCTAAACCCTAAACCCTAAACCCTAAACCCTAAACCCTAATCATCGGCGTAATGCACCTTCCACTCCACGCATCCTCCCCAAGCCCTGCTGGCTCAGAAGCCCTCAAAATCAGACGGTAGCTTCCCCCCAAATGATTCGGGATCCCGGGCTTTGTAACCCTAACCCTAAACCCTAAACACTAAACCCTAAACCCCAAACCCCAAACCCCAAACCCTAAACCCTAAACCCTAAACCCTAAACCCTAAACCCTAAACCCTAAACCCTAAACCCTAAACCCTAAACCCTAAACCCTAAACCATAAACCCTAAACCCTAAACCCTAAACCCTAAACCCTAAACCCTAAACCCTAAACCCTGCCCCTGCAAAGGCTTCAGAGTCGGACCTGAACCGTGTCTTTGACTGCATCGACACAGGCCCTCAATCGGGAATCGAGCTCCCGATTCCCGCCCCCTCCCCTCCCGGTTTCCGAAGATGGGGGGTGCCCTTCTTTAGGGTTTAGGGTTTAGGGTTTAGGGTTTAGGGGGGGATAATGTAAAGATGACGGCAGTGTTTCGGGGATATATGAGGGGCACCCCTAATGTGGGAAATGCCCGCAAGAACTTGGTAGCCCAGGGGTACCCTTTTTCCATGGTTTGTGGGTTCAAAGTTCCCCTTAAAAAGGTATCCAACCCCCAAAAAGCCTGCCCTTATGATGCTTAGTAGCTGGGCGACCAAGAAACAAACACCCTGATTTCGACGGAAGGCCGAGGCGCCCTTCATCAAACAATCAAGGAAGGGGTCTACCAATGGGGCTTGGTGTGGTCTTCGGGCCCTTGTCACAGCTCTGCCTTTGGGATTTCTCCATGTACACTGCGCGCCAGAGCCCTTCTTGGGTTTTGCCCAGTTCTCTTCTGCTGGGGGCATCCGGCCTCGGCGCTACATCCTTTCCCAAAGCCCTCAAACGAAGGCACGCGCTTTGAAGTTCCGGGTGCTCCTGCTTGGAAGACCTGAAAACGGATGCTTTTGGTCTTCATCTTTTCCTCCTTACTATTGTAGGGGGATCCTATTATCTGGGGGTCCATTTAAGGGGGTCCGCTATCTTCGTAAACCTCCAGATTGTGTCAGGGGACATCGGGTCCATCGTGAAGGAGGACCGGCTCCCAGCACAAAAAGAGAGCAGTTGTGATGGCCCCCCCCCTCACTTGCCCTTGTGAGCCTGCGTCGTGTGTAAGGGTTGAGGGGGAGAAGAAAAAAAAGGTAGAACAGCGCAGCTGCAGGTTTTTCCCTCTTTTTATCCCTAGGCCCTACCTAAACCCCAATATCCAACTGTCAAGGACTGCATCTTCCTCGAGCTGGATCCTATGAAGCGTAACGAGGAGCCCGGATCCTAGCATGCCTTGACGCGGTTCTATCACAGCGCCCCCTTTCCTTCGATTCAAAAGGGAACCCTTGAGAAGGGTTGAGAGTCATCGTGCGGGTGAAGTTTTGACCCATATCTCCAAATCTTGGAGGCCAGTTGGGGCTCAAAATGATGGGCTTTTGTGGCGTGGCATTAGTTTCCATCATGCTTCCAAGCAATCAGTTTAAAAACACAGGCAGAAGGCCAATAAGCTGCCGGGCTCTTCAACGATCTCGCGGGATACGGCTCCGCCCTGATGAGGCATTTTCATGGCCCCTGTGGCATTCCAGACTGTTACCAGGATGGGCTACTGGGCCCTATAATCCCCAGAATCAACCCCATAAAGGCCTTTTCAACCATGTGTAGAGTAGAATGGCCCATACTGGTCTGCAAAGCCGCCCCAAGAGGCCTTTATTTTTAAGTTTGGGCTTCTGTGCATCCCTACACCGAGGCGCCAGCGCGGTGGCCTCGTCAGGGCACCGGTCTCAGCCATCGATATGCGTGCAAGGGTTCAGGGCCTTTAGTCGCAAATGAAGAAAGACATGATCGTGCACCATGTGAAGTATGAATAGGCCGCGCATTTAGGTCTTGTAGCTTGATTCCCCTTGAGAACACGAAAGCGGCATGAAGAAACCAAGTGCTATTCCTATTTCCAAGCAAACTGGCCTCCCCAAGAAACTCCGGCATAGCTTAGTAACCCTCCAAAGCACACCTTCTGCGGTAAGAATTGGAACAGGTAGTTTCAGGGTTCAGGAAGTTTTCCGATTTTTTCTCATTTCCCTTGAGGAATGGAAGCAGCGCGCTGCCATGGAGTTCTTACAAAACGCATGGCGCCCGATGGGGAGGAGTTCTTTTGAAGACTCTAGCGGGACTGGGGTGTTGTGTATATTTTTGTTGGGCCTCGACGAGAGTCATGATGGAGCGGTTTCGCAAGCGACGGGCGTAGGCACACAATAGACAGGAGCACACCTGCTGGAACCGGCCGCCCGGCTGCTTGTACTCACGGTGTGTACTTCGTCCCATGCTTTGCAGTCTTCAACCCACCTGGCACTGATTGCCGCAACTTGCAACTGGTTGCAACGCCATGCCCCACATGCCTTCAAAGCCCGCGGCTGTCAAGGCGCGAACTGGGCTGAAGCCGCTGCCAGGGGAGGAGAGTGGGGCCCCTGGAACTTTACATGTATATCACGGCGTCTACATCGAGGTCGTATTGTGGCTGTTCCTGTCCGGAAGAGATGGGGTAACAGGGTCTCCAGTTTGGGGGTCCTTCAGCCCTGTTGCTTGGGCATGTTGTTTATGAGGATTCGGCGATTGGGGTCAGGCTTCAGGACCGATTTCAGGATTTAAGGGAATTCGTTTTTTGGAATGCTGATTGTCTGTGTGCCAACGCTGTGAGCGTTCGCATTGCGGCGATCGGGTGGGGAGCGTGGACCAAGGGTCGCCCACCAAAGACCCCTCCAAGAGCCGCGGGCGACAAAAACTGGTCCAAGAGAGGTCCACACTCTGTGGGCAGTGAAGCCAGGACTGCGCTGGCATCGAGAGGGGATTCCTGTGCTCACCCGGAGAGGAATCACAATTGGTGAAATTGCGCCCCCACGCGGTCGGAAGCAGAAGTTTGTTTGCTCGGAGAGGTGTCGCAACTTCCAGGGGGTTAGGCTTGAAGATAGCTTTTTGCTTCTTATTACCCATAGTCCGCCCCCAAACCTGCCTCAGTTCCAGGGACCCTCAACTAAAGTTGAAGGAAGCACATGTCCACCCAAGTAGCTCATGGCTACGCTTCCACCAGGTGTGGCCTTGCCAGAGAGGCATCGGCTCGCGCCGAGGCCGTGGCAGGCCCTCCGAGGGCATCTTCGGGCGCTTTCCAAAACAGTTGCGTTGATTTTGGGACACCCTAAACCCTCAACCCTAAACCCTAAGTTCTTTGGGGCATGCTGGGGCGGGGGGGGGTTGTTTCGGTGTTTCGGGCTGGGAACCTGAGGTTTTCTGGACGCGAGGGTGAGCTCCGAAGGTGTCGCGTCCGTTGGAGTCTTGGGTTCTGAGATTCAAGTCCGCTGATCTTCCACAGGCCATTTGGTGGTCAGAGGTGCTGCTTCGCCCATGTATAATGGCCTTGTCAGGCATCACAATGCTTGCAAAGAGTAGACACGGACCCCCAGTTTGTTGTCAGCATGGATCGCGTGAAGGGTCCCAAAATAAACAACGTATCATGTTCGTGCTTTTGCTTGGGCCCGTACGTGCCAAAAGGGAAACCGTGCTGTGGGACTGCAACACCGGCACCCGAATCTGGTTCCTCGGACATGATCGGCCGGACCGAGCCAACATCTCACGTGCCTTTTAACTCATAATGACCCCAAAATGCCCTGAGTTAAGATGTAATGAGACAACAACCCCCAGAAAATCCTGTAAAAACCCTCTATGTAACCCTACACTAGCCCCACAAGTACCCTAGACTGCCCCCCCCCCCCCCCCCCCAAAACCCTTAAAGCAAAAGACGCCCTCGCAGGCTGGGGCCTTTGAGCAGATTCCCATGGTCGTTTGCCAGCGGCGTGGGCGGCCGAGCCCTCCCCAAGCACCCCCTTTTGTAGAAACGCCCCGGGGGAGCCCGAATTAGTCTCCTACGCACTGTTAGAAGGCCTTAAATAGACACCGAGACAAGCCCCTAAACCCTAAACCCTAAACCCTAAACCCTAAACCCTATAAAACTCTAAACCCTATAAAGCCCTAAACCCTAAACCTTAAACCCTAAACCCTAAACCCTAAACCCTAAACCCTAACCCCAAAGCCGAAGCCCCTCCTTCTATAACCTGAAGCCCCTTAGATCGCCGCTTTTTCTAGTGTTCATTCGGAGGCCCATGGGAGGTGTGGCCCTAATAGGGCTGAGGCTTTAGTTGTCGTGGGCCAGCTCAGGGTTGACGTGTGTAGCTTCAGGGCTTGGGGTCTCTCTCTCTCTCTCTCTCTCTCTTGTTCAAGGGCGCTGCTTGCTATACTATTGTTTGTAGCTGCAAGTAATACAGGGGCGCAGTTCCCGCCCCCTAAGCCCCTCCCTCGAGGCTACGAGCGGGAGCGCGATGCCCGCTTCAAGCGGAAGTGTGCGCTCGGCGCCCCAAGGGAGCAGTCCAACAGAGCTCGTCAGGTCCAGGTTTCGGCGGTTCAAGGGAGGGCTTTTGTTTGCGTTGCGGGGTTTAGGGTTTGATGCTCAGGCGGGCGACCTTCTTGAAGCAGATCTGCATCTCCTATGGAAACGAGGCCTCAGCCGCTAGCTGTGTCCTTTTCTGGAATCCGGGTGCATGGGTCTCAGCTGCTTCGTTGCTGTGCTCACGCAGCTCAAAACCCTAAGGCCCTAGTCCCCCAAAAACCCCAAAGCTCTCAATCCTTGCAACATCCCGAAGTTTGAAAGCCCTTGTGGGTGGCTCTTTGCACAGGTACGGGCCCTTCGCCGCGACATCAACCCGGGAGGCTCTGCACCCTCAGCTGATGCGGTTTCGGGCCTCAGGGCCTTTTTTTGAGGGGCTAGGGCCTTTGACTGTCTTGGCGTCGATTTTTCAAGCTTCGTTGGCAACGAAGCATGGGGGTTCCTCGTGGCTTGGCCTCCGGGTCCTCAGTGTGGTTTCGGAGTGAACCTGGCAACTCTTCCCGAGTTACGGGTAGAGTTCGGGGAAGAGTTACGGGTAGAGTTCGGGGAAGTGGTCCCTAGAAGCCTTTTTTTGCCCTACACAAGCCCGATCTAGGCCCTCTAATCCCTGAGCCTCTGAAGCCTCGACCTCTTTGCAATGTTGCAGATGCTTTTCTTGGTTCGCCGCAAGGCCGAACCCTGTCTGACAGGTGAAGCCAAGAAGCCAAGCCCCTGCAAAGATAAAAGCTTGAAGTGGAGGAAGAAAGGTTAGGGTTTAGGGGTTTAGGGCTTAGGGCTTAGGGTTATAGCAGTTTATAGGGCTTAGGGGATCCTACAGGCTTTGGAGTTTGGCTGCGATTGAACTCCAAGAAGCCCCCCCTCCCCCCTTCTGCAGGACACCATGCGACTTTGCCAGGGCCCAAGTTGGGGGGGGGGAGGGGGAGGGGGAGCCTGTTTGGGGGGGTTCAGAGGGGTTTCCTCTCCGGGCTTTCGGTTTGGGTTGCGCAAGGGGCTCTTTGGGCTTTAGGAGGCTTCCTGTCCCAAGATGCAAACGCGGCGCCCTTGTTGTCACAGATGGCAACACCTTTATCTGCACAGCAGGCTCCATGTACAGTTTCGCTGGATTCCCAGTGGCGATGTTGGGTCTTGTTCGGCGGTTCACAGTGGTGCAAGTTGCATTGGGCGATTTGATTCAAAATCTTCGTGCCTTCCGAGTGGTTCTGGCATATTATGCCCCAGATAACTACGTGCTGTAGCAAGCCCAAAGTCGCCGAAACCCCCACACCCCCAGAAACCCCCGAAAATGGCGAAACCCGGAACCCCCAACCCCCCCCCCCCCCTCCTCCCCCCCCCTACAAAAGAAACAAAGACTTCAAGCCCGAAGACCCGCAGTCCCGCCGAGGACGGATGTGCGGAAGTACTGCCGACAAGCTCGCAGCCCAGTTTGCAGATGTCCCAAGGCTCTCAGACTAGCATCCATAGTAGGCCCTTATTCCCTTTTTGGAGGGTATAGGTTCACTTCTAAGCTCCTTCAAACCAAAGATGGCCCTTGCGATTCCTAGGTTACTCTTGGGTCTAGGAGAAGAGGCCGAGAGAGCTGAGGCAGTTGCCTGTTTTGAATGCTGCCGCAAAATCTGGGAGATGAGCAAATCACACATGATGGCAACGTGCCCCACACGTCTGAGTGGTGCCCAATATGTAAAATTGATGTCCCTGCCGTACCTGGTATGCTCTCGTACACTAGAAGCTCTACCCCCTTGAAGAAGACATTGCATGAGCCATGCGTTCGTCGCAAGAGCCCGTTCCAACAGAAGCAGGTCCGAGCTACTGCAAGCAGCATCCCCACATGACATCCGCTGAGCGCGAGCACTGTGAGAATAAGTCGCCGACGCCAAGCGACTTGCATCATTACGAGGGGCTGCACTCAGCCGGTGCCGGCTGCGCGCATTGCGTGGAAGCATTCTTGGCAGAAGGAGGCGATCCTCACAGAGGCACGCCCCACCGCAAGAAGTGGAATCTAGTGGCTTGGGCAGAGTATTCTTTCAAGTCTGGGCGCATCAGTCAGGAGAAGTTGGATGCCGTCAGAGGGGTTGTTTCCGCTTGGTCGCATGCATCGTTAAGCAGCAGCGGCAGGCTGGCTGACCAAAATTGCATTCGCGACGATGCGACTGGCAAGGAGGATGTGGGAATGTCAGTTCCTAGCCCGAGCACAGCCACGTTGGGCTACTGCAAGCAGCATCCCCACATGACATCCGCTGAGCGCGAGCACTGTGAGAACAAGTCGCCGACGCCAAGCGACTTGCATCATTACGAGGGGCTGCACTCAGCCGGTGCCGGCTGCGCGCAGTGCGTGGAAGCATTCTTGGCAGAAGGAGGCGATCCTCACAGAGGCACGCCCCACCGCAAGAAGTGGAATCTAGTGGCTTGGGCAGAGTATTCCTTCAAGTCTGGGCGCATCAGTCAGGAGAAGTTGGATGCCGTCAGAGGGGTTGTTTCCGCTTGGTCGCATGCATCGTTAAGCAGCAGCGGCAGGCTGGCTGACCAAAATTGCATTCGCGACGATGCGACTGGCAAGGAGGATGTGGGAATGTCAGTTCCTAGCCCGAGCACAGCCACGTTGGGCTACTGCAAGCAGCATCCCCACATGACATCCGCTGAGCGCGAGCACTGTGAGAACAAGTCGCCGACGCCAAGCGACTTGCATCATTACGAGGGGCTGCACTCAGCCGGTGCCGGCTGTGCGCAGTGCGTGGAAGCATTCTTGGCAGAAGGAGGCGATCCTCACAGAGGCACGCCCCACCGCAAGAAGTGGAATCTAGTGGCTTGGGCAGAGTATTCCTTCAAGTCTGGGTGCATCAGTCAGGAGAAGTTGGATGCCGTCAGAGGGGTTGTTTCCGCTTGGTCGCATGCATCGTTAAGCAGCAGCGGCAGGCTGGCTGACCAAAATTGCATTCGCGACGATGCGACTGGCAAGGAGGATGTGGGAATGTCAGTTCCTAGCCCGAGCACAGCCACGTTGGGCTACTGCAAGCAGCATCCCCACATGACATCCGCTGAGCGCGAGCACTGTGAGAACAAGTCACCGACGCCAAGCGACTTGCATCATTACGAGGGGCTGCACTCAGCCGGTGCCGGCTGCGCGCAGTGCGTGGAAGCATTCTTGGCAGAAGGAGGCGATCCTCACAGAGGCACGCCCCACCGCAAGAAGTGGAATCTAGTGGCTTGGGCAGAGTATTCCTTCAAGTCTGGGCGCATCAGTCAGGAGAAGTTGGATGCCGTCAGAGGGGTTGTTTCCGCTTGGTCGCATGCATCGTTAAGCAGCAGCGGCAGGCTGGCTGACCAAAATTGCATTCGCGACGATGCGACTGGCAAGGAGGATGTGGGAATGTCAGTTCCTAGCCCGAGCACAGCCACGTTGGGCTACTGCAAGCAGCATCCCCACATGACATCCGCTGAGCGCGAGCACTGTGAGAACAAGTCGCCGACGCCAAGCGACTTGCATCATTACGAGGGGCTGCACTCAGCCGGTGCCGGCTGCGCGCATTGCGTGGAAGCATTCTTGGCAGAAGGAGGCGATCCTCACAGAGGCACGCCCCACCGCAAGAAGTGGAATCTAGTGGCTTGGGCAGAGTATTCCTTCAAGTCTGGGCGCATCAGTCAGGAAAAGTTGGATGCCGTCAGAGGGGTTGTTGCTGCTCGCATGCCCACACGTGGCGTTCCCTTCTTGAGTAGTTGTTTTGACTTGTTGTCTGCTTTTCTGAAGATCACAACTCATCCAACTCATATGACAACCACGTTGTCCATTCGTTTTGCCAATGGACCCTTGTGTGTAAGGTCAAGAAGCACCGAGTTCCCCCACACAGTTGAGGCGTAGCAGGTCTGCGTCCAGGTCTCGCAGCAGGCAGCGTTCCGCTGCTGCTACGTCATCCCATTGTGCAGACGTGCCAGAACTGGTAAGCCTGGTGTTTCGTGGTTTTGAGGTGAACACTTCCTCACCACCTGAAGACATGGTCGATAAGTTCTGCGCCTGCATTGCAGAGGCTCAGTCTGAGTGTACAGGTGTGAAAGTTGAAGATGGCACGGTTCGAGACTTGGGCCTTTCGGAGGTCCCAGTTGAAGAGCTGGCATATTGCCAGCGGAACATACATCCGCACAGGAGATTCAGAGATGGGAGCTCGATGTCATATTTGGTGGAACGACTCAAGCAAGGAAAAACAACACCGCGTGAGGTGCCTACTGTGCGCTTGCTGAAGGTGGGGCAGAGGTTGGTGACGTTGGATCACCGAAGGGTTTGGTGCTTCAAGGAGTTCCAGCGCTACATGCACTACAAAGTGAGGGTGCCGGCCCACATCTTTGAGCTTTCCGAAGAAACTGTTGGGTTTCTTGAGCGAAGCTTGAACTCGGACATTCTCAGGGAGCTCCTGCAGAAGTTTTACAAAATTCGGGCAGAGATCAGCTAGACTGAGACAGCGGACTTGGAATTCAACTAAGAGAGCAAAGCACATTAGCCTGATTCAGAGGAGTCGATGAGTGTGGGAAGGAACTGCCGCCATCGCATCCCGAAGGGGAGTTGCCAAGTCCTGGCTTAGCGAGTTTTTATTTCCAGTGAAGGCCAGATGAGATCATCGGCCGCGTCGCTGCCGAGATTGTTCCGGCTGTAGCTGGCCTTGCCCCGACTGACGCCCCCAGCAAGGTGAACTCGAATCCATGCCGGCCAGCACGGCATCACTGGAAAAGATGCTTTCAAGGCAGCTCCCAGTTTTCCATGTCCATGTCATGCTCCCGAAGCCTTAGCATCGCCCCCCCCCCCCATGTTGCCTCTTTAGGTGTTGCCATTGCATCAGGTATCCTCAATTCATCGCTGTGCACGCTCGGGGTGGGGCGGGGGGGGGGGGGGTACGTTGGAGGGTTATCGAGGGCACGTTTGCGAACATCTTCCGAGGTGGACCTGCCCGTCGAAATCTCCCACTTGTGGCAGAGCCTGGACGCTGACTCGGACGGAAAAGTCCGCATGGAGGACCCAGCCATGTCAAAGTCTTCGGAGAGCTTTAGATGCCCTTTAAAACTTGGTGGCCCAGTGGTACCCTTTTCCCTTTTTTGGGGTTCAAGGTTCCCCCTTATACAGTGACCAACCCAACAAAAAGGGTGCCCTTATGTTATAATATGGCTACTGGGCTACTGAAGAGAAGCGCTGCCAGGAGCTCTGCTCCCAGCGTGCCGAAGTCCTGGCCAAGTTCAAGGAGACTCAGCTCGAAGTGACTTTTTTGTGGGGGAGAGGGGAGGCGCACAGTAGTTTGAAAGAACCCAAGCTTCAACGTTGAGGTTTCCGGTGTGGGCCATGTGCCGACGTTCTATATAATGCTTCGAATTGCCTTTTAGAGATTTCAGATGACCGGCCTTGTACTTCAGATCCTGTACGCCAGAGCCCACAAACAGTAGGAGTGGAGCCGCCAGCGCTTCGGATCCTCCGTCGCGCTGTGGGAGACTCCCGAGGCGGATCCGCCGGCGCTCTTTGGGGGGACGAAGTGAGGGGGCTTCAGGCCCGAGGGCTTTTAGGGTTTTAGACATCAGGGGCTTAGAGAGTGTTATAAGCTATTTTTTTTTGTTGGGGGGGGGGGGGGGTACCTCGAATATTGACTCTCATAGTCAAAAATAGTTTTTAAATGGAGGATCAATATCAGAGTACCCCCCGAAGATGAGCGCTACCAGGGCGCATCCGGTTTAGTCAGGGATAGCTGGGTTGCCGAGGCTGTTGGTTTCGGAGGCCGGCTTTTGTTAAGCTGGAACCCTAAACCCTAAACCCTAAACCCTAAACCCTAAACCCCCATCTTGCGTGCTGAAGGCCGTCCGTGCTCGAGCGCGTTGGCGAGGACAGGGCCTGTGGATCTCCGATACGAAGATGCCTCGCGCCCAGCTTCTCCGAGAGAGGAGTTTCTTGCGCACCTCTTGGCCGAAAGTTACTTCCCTTTAAATCCTAAACCCTAAACCCTTGCCAGGTTATTATGAATTTTGATGCATGGTGTTTAAGAATCTGGCGCCTTCGTTCTCGACCGGGGCATTAGTTGCCTGCTTGAGTTTCCCAGTCAGCCAAACGCCGAGGTCTGTCAGGAGTGTACGTACGCTTATTCAGTTCATGGCTGCGACGTATCCGACTACTCTCTCTTTGGAGTCTTGCGGCGCCCTGCACGACAGGTCAGAGGGGTAATGAGCTTTCTGTTAGAGTTCTTGAAGTAGATGCTTTTCTGCAGCCACTGTGGCTCCCGTTTGTGCCGCCTTCCGCCATTCGCTTTCCGCCCTCGGGCGCCCTGACAACTCAGAGCAATGGGAGGACATCAGCGCTTCTTCCATCCGACCCTGGCCTGCAGTAGACTTTATCGGGTTGATGCAACTTTCTTGCAATTCTGCACGGTCTGGCACATGAAGTTGACGGGCTACCCGTACCCCCATGCCCTAGAAGCCTTGAACGAGAGAGGAGACCCTAAAGCCCTCATAGGGTGCTTGTGTAACCAAAAGGCTTCGTGTCTTAAGTACACCCACAAGCCCTAAACCTTAACGCAACTGGGGGAGTGGACGATGTCGAAAGAGCGCGCAAATCCCGAAGCCCCAAACCCAAAACCAAAGCCTCCTCAAATCCCGACAGACCCCAGTTTGAGGTTCCGCAGTTTTGGGCTGTTTGGGGGCTTATGGATCGGGGGGGGGCTGCGAGTTTTGGTCTAGGCTGCGCAGCGGGGTCCATGGTCTAGGGCCCAGGGTGTAAGGGTTTAGGGCAGCTTTCCTGCGAAGGGAGCAAGAAAAGGGGCTTGTAACTATATGTTAATGCCTGGGTATAACCTTTCTTTACTTGTGACCCTGCGATGACGACCCATGCACCTTCAAGCAGCATGTGTCTGCAGCCCCAGGAACTGGTTCTCCCGCTACATCTGGGGCATCATTGCGAGTGTGACTCGGGCCCTTTGCAACATGTGGGACCGAGAAATCATCATGTTCCCCTTGCGGGCAGCTGTTCCAACCGGATACCTTCTTAAAGGCCTATTGGACCATAGCCATAACACTCATACCACTGTAAGGCAGCCACCGGACCAAGTTAGAACAATACTTCACCCAGCCTGACCCCCCCTACACCCGTACAACCCGCGCTCCGCTCAAACCCTGAAATCAGGAGCTGCTGTGCTCGAGGCAGACCATGCAAACCGCATAAACCCTGAACCCCCAGCCCTCGCTTGTGAAAATTTATTTTCAGGGTCAGGATATTCGGGCTTTTCATGTGGTTTCTGTAGGGCTTTTTAGTGTTCACAGATCAAGTGTCTGAATAATGAGGGCCAAGAGCCATAGGGCTCTTGGGCGCAGAGTCTTTTTTTGGGTTTTGGTCTTGTAGAGTTCCGTGGCGCAAGCCTAGGTGAACTTGGGCGGGTTCCTGGCGGAGCAGCAGCCGCGCGGCGAACTCTTGATGGGCCCAAACCCTCCTATGTGCTGTGAATGTACAGAGGCCTGCGTCAGTGTTGCATTGGTTCGCTGCAACGAAGATCCGGGAAGAGCTGGGTGAGCAAGGCCAAACAATGTTTGGCAGGAACCGAACGTACTAGGAGAGTCGCAGACAACTGCTGCGCACGTCAGCGAGCGCATAGAGCTGCAAGGAACGTGCCGCGGCGAATCTCCAGCTCAGGTATGGCATTGACCGCACCAAGAACCCCAACATCATGTGGCCGTGGTGGCACGAGATCATGCGCAAGAAGGCAGCTGGCTATTGTGGGGCCGGGGGGGCGGTTGGGGGGGGGGGGGGGGGGGGGAAGGGCGTCCACGAAAGAAAGTTCTCTTCTCTTTTCCTTGGCCTAACCGGCAGGAGAAGGGTGAGATCCCCATGGAGATGCCGGGCTACATGCCGCTTGGGTTGCAGTATGGGCGCCCTAACCTTTGAAGATTTATGTAGACAGTTCTTTATTCTCATTGCTTTCTTGCTTATACATATAATTATACAAACCCTTGATATTTTGTTGTATGTACAAAATTCCAAATTCCATTTCTTGTCATTGCAGAATAATTTCAGAATTGTATACGAGAGCAATCTTGAGAGCTCCTCACAACAGCCTTGTTGAAACGAAGGGTTTTTCAGCTCGCTTTTAGGGACTCGGCTAAACACGCTTCTTTGCCGAGGATGGCCAGCAGTAGCCGCATTCTCCCTTCTGTAGGGTTCAGGGTGTGAGGCTAAGGGCTTAGGGGAGTTTAGGTTTTGGGGGGAATGTTAGGGTTTTGGGTCCAACTTCCCTCGGGCCCCTTTACATATTCAACGCCCAGGAGAAGCCTTTGTTTCACTCTGGGGGAACCTGTGCTTTGCCCCTCCAAACCCTCGTTGCCCTAAGGAACCAAGTCCCGGATTCCTCCTTGAATAGCTCAGCGCCTGTTTTTTGTGGGCTATTGCCCGGCAACCCCGTGCAGGATGTCTGATTCGTAGGTAGACCTCCAGAAGAACAAAATGCTCTAGGATCCTTGGCGCAAGGCAAAAACCCCCTAAGGGGCCTCTAAACAGCCTATAGACCCTTAAAACCATCCATCAAAGCTCCTCTTCTGCAAGAAAAGGAAACCCCAAAAAGAACCTCAGCTCCCTCCCTCACGAAACTGGCCACAAGCCCCAAACCCCCAAAGCCTTCAAAGAATTAAATGAAGCAAACCCGACAAGTTTCAAAGCCCCAGTAAGGCCCTCTAAGCCCCTTAGACCCTAACCCCTCGCCTGGCTTTGTCCGAGTGTAAGCGGTTAAACCCTACCAAACCCCAAACCCTACACCCTAAAACCCAAACCTATACAATTTAATACATATTTATTTATTTATTTAGTATATTTATTTACTTATATGTGTATGTATCTCCCTCTCTCTCTCTCGCTCTCGCTCTCGCTCTCTCTCTCTCTCTTTCTATCACTCTCGCTCTCTCGCTCTCTCGCTCTCTCTCTCTCTCTCTCTCTCTCTCTGTGCGACACATCCCTCGCGGCCCTGAAGGCTGGCCAAGTTCCGCAACGAGTCCGAAGAGCGCTGGACCGCGGAGCGCAGCCATGAGCACGCCCCCTTAAAATGGGGGGGGGAGTTTAGGGTTTAACTAGGGTTCGGGTTCAGGGCAAAAGGGTTTAGGGTTTGGGGTTCCATGGTAGTATGGGGCCCCAGGGTATAGAAGTGTGTATAGAAGTGCTTCTCTATCAAGGGGCCCAGACCTGGGGTTCATGTGGGGTGCGTAAGGGCAAACCCCCATGTAGCGACAGTTTGGCTATAAATCTCACAGGGCCTTACCGAATGTCTCCCTATCAAAGGCTCGCCAAAGTTTCATGAGATGGCGATGCGACGCAGGAGCCGAACACAGCAACAGATCATCCCCTTCTGATCCTGTGGCAAATCACTTTAATCCACTATTGCTAGGCTCAGTGTGGTGGTTCAGCCAACTTTGTCTTGACTCCAAGAGTCGCTCAAGATCCAGCCCAGGTTTGAAGAGTACCTGAACGCCGCAGAGGCTGAGTGAAGCAACAGCCCGTAGTTGAGACATGTCGGGCCAACTCAGCCTTGGCAATGAAAAATCTACTGTATCAGCAAGACCTTCAGGAAGAGAGCTGCACATTGAAAGGTGTTGTGTAGATTCAGCGTCAGCATCGCTATTTCGACTCAAGCACCTCCGCTCACAGGCACCACCAAGCCAACTCATCAGGGGCGATGCAGGGGGTAAGAGCCCGGTTTTATGGGACTGGCTTGATGACGGAGATGCTAAATAACGACGGGGCGGAGCGGAGCTGTGCCCGGAGCGAAAAACGGAAGCGTCGGCACACTCGGTTACACGGAGTAGCCTGGAGTTGTAGCTCCAGTATTCCCCCTTTTTTTTAGGGTTTAGGTTCCCTTAAGCCAAAAAGGGCCCTGTTTATTCCTAGGTTATTGTTGGGTTTAGGTAAGCTTGTGAGGCAAGCCCCCAACTTCTGAGGCGCTTTGGAGTAGCTTTGTGAGGTTTCGCACCCCTCGCCAACTTCCCCTTTTAATGCTGGACTCGGTTTAATCTCCAGGATTCTCGCCCCCCCCCCCCTCCACAAAACAATCTTGGGGGTTTTCGCGGGTCCTCTGTAAACTGGGTTGGGGTCGGGGGGTAGGGCGGGTGGGGGTCGGGGGGATTGAGGGGAAGCCTCGAGGCTTGAGAGTCTAAGCTTTCCAGGATTCGTGGCTCCCTTGCCAAGAGGGGCTGCGGACGAATGTGGGTAGCCGAAACAATTGACGAAAGCGAATCAGGGCAGCTCGTGGGGTACTCCCTTGGAAAATTGTTTGGGGGCCTGTTTGGTAATGAAATTTTACAAGGAATCTGAAGAAAGCCGGACACCAGAAAATTGCCGGAGTTTCTTATTCAAAACTATTCTCGGTTTTTGGCTCCCCGGCCCCCCGCCCTTCATCCCCGGGCCGCGAACTTCGCATCATTGCGGACCACCCTCATTAATTGGGGGGGGGGGGCCTCTATAAGTTTTCCGGCAACACGCTTAATAGCGCCTACCTTGAGGAAACCGGGTCCAACATTAGTTCAGCAACGGACCTCGCAAGCTTGAACATCCCAAGGGTGCAAACAGGCATTTCAATCGGATTGCCTAAAAAGTCTTCGACGCTTTCGAAGGGTTTAGTCAGGACCATGCAAGACAGCTTTGCTCCCGCTCCCAGGCTCATCGCTGCCTTCGGAGAGGCCGCCCCCAAAAGCTTTGTTTTTTTGTTGTTCCTCTTCTTTTGGTTTCATTGCGCCTTCAGCCCCGTGATTTCCTGCCACCCTCTTGAAGCCCTACAGTCAACCCTAAACCCGAATCCCTAAATCCCAAAACTAGTCATAACTGCACCTCATAAATCCTCAAGGCCCCCTACCCTAAACCCTAAACCCTAAGCCCGCGCCATGCCTATGGCTCCTTGAATTCCAGGCCCTGCGCGAGCTCAAGTGGCCAGGGATTCACACCGCAGAGGACGAGACTTTTTGAGGGGTATATAGGGGCTTAGGGGGTTAAGGGTTTATAGGGTTTATGGGGTTTTGAGGGTTTATAGGTTTATTGGGTTTATAGGGTTTCGGTTGGAAATAAGGGTTCTTCATGCGCTCTTGAGAATGATACGCATCGGTGAAGCTGTAAGAAGAGCACTGGTAAATTGAAAGAGTCATCGGTATCCACATGGTAAAGATGATTCCGCCAATGCCTTGCCTTTTAACCACCTTGATTGAACTTGCGGGCTTGCAGAGCCGTGACGCTTTGTGTCAGTTTGGTGCAGTGGGAATTGGGCCTGAGTTTGGCAGGCGAAAGGAGCACCCTAAACTCTAAACCCTTAACCCGCAACCCGTAGCCCTTAACCCCTACCCCTAGCCTACTTTCTTCGTCTACAGCAAACCCGCTGGCAGTCCCCCGATCCACCAAGTAGTGCATAAGGAGACACCGAGGTTTTTTTTTCTGCAGCCGAAGCCATCTTCCCTGCCCTGATTGCTACCTAGGGTCGCTGACAGTTAGGGTTCAGGGTTCAGGGTTTAGGGTTTAGGGTTTAGGGCTCAGGGTTTCTTGGAGCATAGTAGAGGTGAGACCATACCATGCTTGAAAGCGCCCACAAACCTTCAACAAGCAACAACAACAGTAAGCCTGACCCAAAGAGCTGTAGGGCCCTTTGAGGTTCGATATGGCACACTCGTTTAGAAGCGGAGCCCCGAGTACAAATGTGGTTCAGTTCTTCTAAGCAATGATCCTTTGGGAGTTCTTATCGTTCTCATCATGGTGCCTTGTATTTGGGGTGCCCAACAGGGGACGACATTTCCAAAATAAGCCACCATGTGCTTTGAGAGTTCCACTCCCTGCTGCCATGGGAAACATGGTGAGGCACACTCGCCAGCGTTGCAGGCAACATGATCCGCGTTTGGAAGGTCTCAGGGGATGAGCTGGCCGCCATACCGACGGAGGAGCTGAGTGACGACTTCGATGTTATGTCAGTCAAGAGCTGGCTTCGAACGAAATGCGGGATGCCCGTGTCCCTTCAGCAGCTCTTGCAGGACGGCCGGCGGCTGGGTGAGCATGACAAGTTGGGTGCCCCGGTAGAGTTACAGCTGATGTTGTCGCCCCTTTGGCCACCAGATGCTGCAAGGGAACTTCAAGAAGCAGCCTCGGATGGAGTGGTTGAAGTAGTCCGCACACTCTTGGAAGCCGGCGTGGCCAAAAACTCTGAGGACAGCCAGGGCGACACAGGCCTAATTTGCGCATCTGAGAAGGGCCACATTGAGGTGGTGCGCTTGCTGTTGGAAGGTGGTGCGGCCAAGGATTTCAGGGGCGGACACCACGACACGGCCCTCATTCGTGCTTCTGCATGGGGTCACGTTGAGGTGGTGCGCTTGCTGTTGGAAGCTGGTGCTGCCAAGGACTTGGCAAACCTGGCAGGCGACACAGCCCTGATGTGTGCATCTGCCAAGGGCCACGTTGAGGTGGTGCGCTTGCTGTCGGAAGGTGGCTCGGCACTTGACTTGAAGGGCAAATTTGGCGACACGGCTCTCATTCATGCATCTGAGAATGGCCACGTCGAGGTGGTGCGCTCGCTGTTGAAAGCCGGGGCGGCAAGGGACTTGACGAACAGGCGTGGCAACACGGCACTTGTTTGTGCGTCTGAGAATGGCCACGCTGAGGTGGTACACTTATTGCGAAGCCACAGAGTTAGAACCGCGTGATAGTGCCATTGACCGCGTTGTAGTATAGATTATTGGAGGTCTTTTTCCCGATAATTATTGCAATCTGAATCTGATTATGGGTCATTGAGCAGATTTGCGCATTTGCCATGTCGCTGGTCGCTGGCAAAATCTGAGTGGACCGGTCAAGGTTCAAGGGTTCCGACTTTTTGTGGTCATTGTCCCGCAGGTATGCCGGTACTGCTGCACGACAGTTCAGCCCAATGAAGCCCTCCCAAAACCTAAAGCCCAGAAATGAGCCCGAAAACCCCCGTAGTTCCCCCTACATACTCCCTTCAAGGGTTGTGTTCTAGGGTGAGACAAGGTGCCAAATTTCCCTATACACCTTATATACACCTTTAGGGGCCCAAAGGGCTCTGCAGAAGGACTCTGACACAGCGCGTGCCTCCCCGAGTGTGAGTGCTTAAACCCTAAAGCTGCAGAGAAGGTAATACAGGGGTCGGAATAACCTACAAATCGTATTCCCTTATGGTTCCTATACCATATAAGCCCTGTTCGAATTCTGAAGGCCCCTTTTCTTACCAACCCTAAACCCGGAACCCTCAATACCCTAAACCCCAAACGTCCAACAAAAGAGCCCTCGCAGGAGCGCTCCTACGTCTTCACGTCCCTAGACTCCATGGGCTGCAACCTCATCACGGTGGAGGACCTGGCCTGGCTGGACAGGCGCCGGGTCGCGCCTCTATAGGGCTTAGGGACTCAAGGATGAGGGTTCTTACAGGGTGTAGAGGGTCTAGACGGTTTGGAGGGGTTGTTTATAGCTATAGGGTTTTCAGGCAGGGTTAGAAGGTTCCCCGCGGCCCTGTCCCCCCCCGCCGGCTCCCCCCCTCCCCCAATGAAAGAAAAGAAAAGAAAAGAAAACAACTAGAAGCCCTTTCTAATGGGCAGTTTCTCTAACTTCTGGTGCCTAATAAAAATTGGGCACCTAAAGGACGTTACGAGCCTCTGTAGTTCAAAGCAGGCAACCCAAAAGGGGACCAGAGCGAAGAGAGAGTGACCATCTGAGCCTCAGAACTCCTCAGGAACCTGAACCACAAACTCTGGAGGTTAAATCCCCAAGCCCATCCTAAACCCTAAAAGCCCCCCAAATTTCCACAGCCCTCCAAACCCCAAAGTCCCTAAACGCCCCTGACATCCCCTAAAACATCCCCCCCCCCCCCAAAGAATCTCCCCCAACAAAACAAAAAAAACAAAAAAAAAAAAAAACACAAACCCAAAATTTCTTTTCAGGTGGATCCCCTCGGAGTTCTTGGCCGCGGACCCCAGCGCCGAGGCGTGGAGCGACCTGAAGGCGCCTCTCCTGACATCTCGGAAGCCCTCGAGAGGTAGGGTTTAGGGTTTAGGGTTTAGGATTTAGGGTTTAGGGTTTGGGGTTTCGGATTTCGGGATTTAGGGTTTCGGGTCTTGTAGGGTTTAGGGTTTGGGGGTTAGGGGACAGGACTCAGAGTCGGCCCTTCTTCCCGTTTTGTAGGATGATGTTGGGCATCTTCCAAAGCAAGCTGGACCCAGTCATCACTGCGTCATCACTTGTTGTTTTGAATCCCTGCCTCAATCCGAGTAGAACCGCCACTCCCAGCGGCAAGTTGCACCAGGACATCCTAGTCAAGACCTACCAGCACCCTCTCCGCGCATGGCGAATTCTGGACAGGCGCGCTTTCCCCCCCCTGAACTGCATTTTTGGCAGACTTCTCAGCACCTACGGGGAGTCGCCACCATCCTTGTGTACTTTTTTTTTGGGTGTAGGGTTTGGTTTAGGTTTCGTACTGACTCGTGGAAATGAGGAGCAAGGATTTCCCCCGTTCGTTTGCAAGGCGGCCCTCCATTTGCCCAAGTCCCCTAAGCTTTCGAGGCTTTGGGGCTTGGTTCTCTAGGCAAGTCGACATTCTTCACCAATAGGGCCTTGCACGGACTACTTGCAAACGTTTAGTGCCCGACCTTCTAATTTTCTCCTCAAAAGAAGAGACAACATATTCATAACAAGCCCAACCAACGTATGACAAAAGTGTGCATCGGCGCTTAGCAAGGAGTTTGTAACTATGACAATGGTGTTGTATCTCCAACATCGAGTCCTCAAGGAGCCCTTGACTCCTGACTGCTGAAAGCCCCGTTGCCGCCAGGGACAACTCCAATCGGATTGGTTGGACAGAATTTCGGGACGTGTGCAAGAAGGTGGCGCTGGGGTTTGGGTTTCGAGTGGTCATTTTGGGTGCTGGGGGGTGCCGGGTGGTTCTTGCCTGCGGTTTCTTCTTGTTTCAGATTTCTAAGATCTTGGAGAGCAGTATGTTCCTGAACGTCCCCACTTCTTGAGCACAGCTGCTGGAGCATGCCGCAGGGCCTCTCACCTTAGGGTTTAGGGTTTAGGGCGGCGCGGTTGCTGCTCTCCACGTCTTTGCGGGTTAATGAGCGGCCCAGACATGGTTGTTGGTGAGCCGACTTGCTCACAAGTAGCTGGTCCAGCCTCGGCAGATGGAACCCCAAGACCCGAATTGAGCCCTAAGCCCTAAACCCTGCAGGTTCACTTTAATGGGGACATAGTTGGGGCCTGGCGCATGCTGGACACCGACATGCCAGAGACCCAGCATTCTCCCTTGAAGCCCTCAGCCCTCAAGGGCTGTTCAGGGCTTAGAGTTGTGTCTGGAGTAAAGAGTTTAAGGTTTGGAGTTAAGGGGTTTGTTATAAGGCTGTTTAGAGATCAGGTTTAGGCTTCAGGGCTGGGATTCTCTGTCGACGTCTTGTTGGAAACAGTGCTTAGACTTACACGGTAGCTGAGCCACGCCCTCCTAAAATGTGTGGTGGCCCAGGAGGACCGAATCACAAACTGGAAGAGATGTCTCCATTTTTCTCGCTATCTCGATTTGACTGGACTGGTTTGGTCTGAACTTTTGCATTGTCTGTCGGGCCTGATTGATGGCAAAGTCGGGACGGAATGCCGGCAGCCATACATACATGTGTGCATGTATAATAACCGCTATATATATATATATATGTGCAATACGTGGGGGCCTTGTCTTGAGGTCTGGCTACATCTCCATGCGGGAGTATGTGCGATCCTCAGGGAGGTGTTTTGGGTTCCTTTCTTTTGCGGGGTTTCGAGGCATCGGGCTTGTAGGAAAAGAGTCTGAGCAGGTCTCACATTGGAAAAGGGTGTAGGGTTTATAGGGCTGAGGGTTTCCAGGGCTGAGGCCTGGTTCAAGAAGGGCTCAGGGTTTTCGGCTTCAAGGGTTCTGCATGTCATTTGCCCGGGCCAGCAACAGCTGGTAGAACCAAGGGTCCTGGGATGTCAAGACTTGCGCTCGAAACCACTACAGTTCCGAGGCCGGGGGCCACTTTGTAGCAAGAAAAACCCAAACTTCGGAAGAAGCACCGGGAGGAGGGGGGAAGCCCTCAACGCCATAAACTCTCAACAAGCTTCCGAGGATCCCTCCAGTGAGGAGCTGCTCACCTCTTTCAAGGCGCGTACGTGAGTTGTGAGGTCCTAGGACCTGACAGACCTAAGTCAGGAGCCTCCCTTTAGGTTACCATCACTATCACTATCTATCCCCTTCGATTCTAGTTTTTATGATATGTGCAAAATTTCACTGCCCCAAAGAGAACCATTCTACTTGACTATAGGCCGCTGGATGAACCATCAGATGTGGGGGGATGGCTCCATACAGCTGCGACAAAAGCACTCGTCTTGCACGGGCTACTTTCAGAGAACACCGCTCAGGAGTGGGCCGATTCGAACTTCGGCTCCGTTCGTCATTGCTTCAAGGCGGGGTCCGGGGATGCCGATTCAAGGTCGAGGGCTTCCATTGTTCACCGGCTTCTGTTGAAGCGAGCTCCTAGAAAGAGCTCCTCTCTCCGTTCAGGCCAAAGAGTTGCGATTGATTTACATTCTTTCGGTGTCTTTATCCGGCCCCTGTCTTTCATTCTTTCGGTGTCTTTATCAAGCTTTCGGGTTCAAGGATCAGGTTGTCGTGTCGCTTGCGGCGGGGCGGAGCCTGTCAGGAGAAAAGTTAGATTGTTCTCTCTCGCTCTCCAGCGCTTTGTCATTCCTTCTCGACTTGTTTGTGCGTCTGGCCGTCTCTGCATCTGTCTTTCTCTTGCGACTGCTCCCTGGCTCTCTCGCTTTCTTCTTTGATAAATACAGGCATGCATTTATACAGCTGTATCGTCAAAATTTCTTGTTATTGTGTATAAACATTACATATGTATGTATATACATACGTACATGTATATATATATACATATATATATATATGTATATATATGTATTCTCTGTGCTTCAGGCTTTAGACAGCGACCGCAGTGGCTCGGTCACGTACCCCGAGCTCAAGCGCGCCTGCCACAAGGCGCCAGTGGATGTGGGGGGTTGGGGCCGCTCTCGGGAGCGCATGTGCTCTTCGGTAGGGCTCTTTGTCAGGGCTCCTTTTGGTGAGGCTCTGAACCCGGACATGCTAGGACTGCTAGAGGAGGCGTTGGTGTTTTGTCAAGAGCGGGGGCCTCCCCAATGTACCCAATGAAGTCGGGTTGGTGGGCTCTTCCAAACGCAGTCTGATCCCAAGTGTGTGGTGCACCCCCCCACCGGTTCGGAGTTTTGAAGCGCTTTGACATTGTTTTGGGGGCGGTTCCTTGACTGGCTTGACCTTGCTAGCACATCACCTCTCACAGATGAAGTGGATGGGGAACGTGCGCACGCTATTCGACTGCCTCGACCTGGATTCCGGCGACCGGCACGAGACCTATTCGTTGACTTGGGGCCTAAAAGCCAACATTGCATCAGGTCTTTTGGGGACAACAATAGGGTCTCAATATTTGGGGCATCTATGACCGTTTGGGTGCCGCAAGAGGAAGAGAGGGACAGAAGATAAAGCCCGCGGTGTAGAAAGGGTCCTTACATGCGACTTGTCATGTGTGTTGAGGGTTTTGGGGGGGGTGCATGTTGCGCTTGAAGGGCCGTTTGGGAGGGTCTCAAAGGCTTTGCCAAGCTTTTCCCTGGGCAAGTCCTCGGATGACCCGAAACCCTAAACCCTCTAACCCCATAACCCTGCAACCCTATCACGCTGTAACGCTATAACCCGATAACCCTATCTTGCTATAACCCTTACAACCCTATAAACTCATAAACCCTACGAAGGAAAATTTCCACTGACCCCATAAAGCCCTATGAGATTATAAAAGCCTAGACCCCTTTAAACCCTTAGAGCAGAATCCTGAGCCGAGGCGGAACCGGGACGCGGCGACCGGCAAGCGGCAACGGGCCCGGGAGTTGGTCTGGGTTGCGCCACTAATAGCTTATAGGCTTATAGGGTTGAGGGATTATTAGGGTTCATAGGGTTGAAAGGGTGTGTAAAGGGTGCAAAGGGTTTATAGGTTCTTTCTTTTTTGTTGGGGGGGGGGTGGGGGTGGGGCTTCCGCGATACTCAAAGAAGTGCAAAGCAACCTGGGAACCCCGAGATATGAGAGTATTTTGCCTTTAGGATTTTTAGGCTCCTGAGCAGCCCCTAGCTTGAGGGTAGGAGGGATGCAAGTGTACACTTGAGTATTTCGAGGGCCTCTGGGGCCTAAATCCCAGAAGCCCTCGGATCAACCTCAAGGTAACACAACCCCAAACCTTCCCTTGTGATTACAATGCCACACTGTGCCTCGCCTTGCCCGAGTGTGAGTAAACTAAAGCCACTAAAGATATGGAGTAAACACAGCCCTAGATAAGGATCTGCCCCGCCCTCTCTGCCCACACCTCCCTTTATGTGCTCGGAGGGTCTAGGGTTCAAAAATTATCTTTTTCGGGGTGCAGCTTTTTTCACAGACCTTCGTTTCGAGCTAAGGGCCATCTCCCTGGAGGTCTGGGCCCCTGCCTGTGTTCGGACGTTGGAGGTCTCATTCCGAGGTCGTTGCCATCTTGCGGGGCACGTGCCCCAAGCCCTGAAGATCCCACCATTGAGCCCGCAACTCCTCCAAGTGCCAGGAGATCGCCTTCCTCGACACCTGGCACGTGGAACCCCGACCCGAGCTCGCCAAGTTTGAGGAATTCCAAAGGGGGGGGGGGAGGCACTGTAGAGGCAGGGGGCAGGGCACCCCCCGGCAGGCCCGAGTCCTATAACCTTCCGCTGTCGGGATTTTTTAGGGTTTAAGGTTCTTGGGTGTAGGATTTAGGGTTTGGGGTCTCTACGATACCCCCCCCCCCCCTCTAGGTCCCACAAAAACACCGACAACTCGAGGACGAGCTTGCGGATCTGGAGGCCAGCCGAGCACGGAGCCGAGATCCCAAACCCGAACAAAGGTTCAACCCTAAACCCTAAACCCTAAACCCTAAACCCTCATTGAGTTTGGGGGACGTTTTGGGGCTTCAGCCTACCAGGAAAGTCCAGAGGGCCGAGATGTTCAAGTCGGGAAGTGCTTCGGGGCTGTTCTCCCGTACCTAGACTCTCCTGCAACCCAAAGACGTCATATGCCATCCGCACAGGGGGACATGGGAATATAGAGTATTTGGGGTCTCGGGGATCATGACCTTCCAAACCCAACCTCAACCCTGAGCCCTCTAAAACCCTCCTGAACCCCCAAACTTCCAAGCCTGGGCCCTCTAAACCCTCCTAAACCCCGAAACTTCCAAGCCTGGGCCCTCTAAACCCTCCCAAACCCCTAAACTTCCAAGCCTGGGCCCGCTAAAATTCTCCGAGCATCACCGACAGCCTCCTCTTCAGCCGATGCCTCTCACAGAGCCCCCCAGACCCGCAGTCGCCAAGGTGCTCGCGCGGGAGCAGCGAGGGCCTCAAGAGTCCAGAGGGCCCC